CATCTTATTTGTCTCTTGAGAAACCTGTATGTGGGTCAAGAAGCAACAGTGAGAACTGGACACGGAACCACTGATTGGTTCAAAATTGAGAAAGGAGTTCAGCAAGGCTGTATAATATCGCCCTGCCTATTTAACTTATATGCAGAGCACATCATGAGAAAGGCGGGGCTAGAAGAATCACCAGTTGAAATTAATGTTGCTGGGAGAAATATCAACAACCTCAGATATGCAGATGATACCACTCTCATGGCAGAAAGTGAAGAGGAACTAAAGAGCCTCTTGATGTGGGTGAAGGAGGAGAGCACAGAAGTTGGCTTGAAACATTAAGAAAACTAAGATCATGGCATCTGGTCCTCTCACTTCCTGGCAAATAGATGGAAAAGTAATGGAGGTAGTGACAGATTTATTTTCCTGGGCTCCAAGATCACGGCAGATGGGAACTGCAGCCAAGAAATTAAAAGACACTTGCTACTGGGGAGGAAAGCTATGGCAAATCTAGACAGCATACTAAAAAGCAGAGACATCACTCTGCCAACAAAGTGCGAATGGTCAAGGCTATGGTTTTCCCAGTTGCAACGTATGGGTGTGAAAGCTGGACCATAAGGAAGGCTGAGAGCAAAAGGATTGAGGCCTTTGAATTGTGGTGCTGGAGGAGACTCCTGCAAGTCCCTTGGACCGCAAGGCGATCAAACCAGTCAGTCCTAGAGGAGATCAACCCTGACTGCTCTTTAGAAGGCCAGATACTGAAGATGAAACTCAAATACATTGGCCACCTAATGAGAAGGAAGGACTCCCTGGAGAAGAGCCTAATGCTGGGAACAATAGATGGCAAAGAAGAAGGGGACGGCAGAGAATGAGGTGGCTAGAAGGAGTCACTGAAGCAGCTGGTATGAGCTTAAGTGGACTCTGGGGGATGGTGGACAGGAAGGCCTGGAGGAATGTTGTCCATGGGGTCTTGATGGGTCGGACATGACTTCACAACTAACAACAACAAAGATGTGGAACCTTCAGGGCAAGCAATATTGCTCTTACACTCAATTGATGGACTTAGAAGGCCTGTGATGGGACATGGATATTTCTTGTCTCCAGTGGATGCATTATGCATTGCAGTCAGAGGGGGAATTCAGTGAATTCCTGTTTGTGATGGTGAAGTTTCACTTTCTGTTGATGGGTGACCTCACAAACATAGCAACTGAACACCTGGAGAGTATGGTTCTGTATGAACCATACCATTCCATTTTCCAAATTCAGTGAAAAGGCTGTCAAACCCAAATACTGAAAAGAATTCCAGTCTCTTGGGGCATCAGCCATGAGAGACTTCCAAGAGGAATGAATATGCAGACAGGGAGATACATAATCCCAGTGGATTATGTTGCACTTCTCTCCAGCCTCGAATTCAATCTCAGTTTCATTTTAGGTGAATTTGGGCATGCTTATTCTATCTCCGCATCAACCCCATATTGGAATGAGAGTGGTTAGTGACCTACAGTTATTCACCAGGATGAATGGAACAGAGGAACAGGTGGCCTTTTGACATGAGAAGCAGATGAAGACAGACAAGAATTTTGTTCATACTCACAAAACAGTCATAAGTTCAAAGTCAAATGTGAGCAGGAGAATGTTTTCTTTGAAAATGTCAGTGGCTTTTCAGACATGCACTTACATTCTAAAACTTCATAAATTTCAGAAAAAAGCAGTTTGAAATTTGCCATTTTTCTAAAAAATATGCAATATCCTACTGCAGCCTATGGGGAAAAGTTGTGCATGAATGAAAAATACTGAGATTTTGGTGAAATTTTCCTGTTCCACCATATTGAGTTTGTATGCTTTTCCGGTTTGCACAAATGAAACAATAATTGCAAGCACTCATGGAAATTGAAACAGAGGTAAGCATCAGAGTGATACTCTTAAGAATCTGGGCAATGCTAGCATCACTTGTTCACCTATCCTTAAAGATAACACAATTCGCACGAGAAAAGTGACAATTACTGAGATAGTAGAACTGGGCCAAAACAAACAGTACTTTCCTGACTTAGCTAGTAGCTACATTTTTTATGCTGACTCTAGGACAGATTGGGTCTGGACTGAGTCCCTAGAGTGGGTAGTTAAGAATGTTTAGTTTCCCCACCTCTGCCAAAGACTCAGTCCGGACTGGGGCTCCCATGCCTGCAATTTCTGTTGTAGAAAATGAAATTAATTTGCAACAGAAACTGTAGATGCAGTGGGCTGATGAAGACTGAGTCCATACTGGGAGGAGGATGAAAGAACTCCAGCCTGCACAATATGGTCCCAAGGCATGTTTACTTGGTAGGTATTCAATGTTAGTTCTACCTAGGGTAAAAAGGTAAAGGAAAAGGTTTCCCCTTGACATTAAGTCCAGTCATGCCTGACTCTAGGGGGCGGTGCTCATCTCTGTTTCCTAGCTGAGGGAGCCAGCGTTTGTCTGCAGACAGTCGCCGTGGTCATGTGGCCAGCATGACTAAACACCAAAGTGCACGGAACACTGTTACCTGCCCACTGAAGTGGTACCTTTTTATCTACTTGCATTTGCATGCTTTCGAACTGCAAGGTTGGCAGGAGCTGTGACAGAGCAACAGGAACTCACCCCGTTGTGCAGATTTGAACCAGCGACCTTTCAATCAACCAGCCCAGCAGCACAACAGTTTAAACCACCGCGCCACCTGCAGTACCTAGGGTAGAAGTACTGAAATAAATGAGACTTTTGTTAGTTACATGTAGCTCAAGACTTACGTATTTCAATGGGTCTTCTCCATGTAGGATTAACATTGGATTCTAGCCACTACAGAGTAAAAATGAAGACAAGATGTAGCTACTTGCCATTGCTTTGTAGTAATCTCTGTCTTAGCCCTTCTTATCTGCAACCTGTCTGCCACTTATTCTCAACATTGTTTTTATTAATTATGGAAAGCCTGATGTTGCGCTTTGTATTCTCCTCCACTAAAGACTTCTCTTTTTCTTATTGCTTTGTAGGCTTTACCAACTTCATGCGCAGTCCTGCGTGCGATGTGTTCAATCCACTTCACAGTGAGGTTCACCAGGATATGGATCAGCCCCTCTGCAATTACTTCATTGCATCATCTCACAACACGTACCTAACTGGAGATCAGCTTCTCTCTCAATCTAAAGTTGAGATGTACACCCGAGTCCTGCAAGATGGCTGCCGATGTCTTGAAGGTGCTTCCTTTATTTTATTTTGGGGAGAGGTATTGCTGTAGAGTTCCCATGGAGTCTCAAAACAGGGACTGATTTGTCACTTTTGAAGTCTTAGAATGCAGTCCTATAATCCTTGGGATGGCATCTCAGGAGCCCGAAGATATTGGGGACCTTTTTCACTATGGGCAGTAAGGCAGATCAGTTGGTGGAAAAAGGCCAACCACAAATGCTGTCTCACCTCCACCACAGCTGCTCCTCTGGAAATGGAGTGAGATAGAAGGGGGCATGTCAAGAACATTCCTTGACAAACTGACCAGCTCCAAAACTGCCATATTTATTTTCCCTCCCTCTACCTCCTCACCTCAACATATGCCTGGCAGAGCTTTGGAAGCAGCAATTCGTCCAATACAGGTTTTTTTTCCTTCTCTGCCATTTGTCTGTTTATTAAAAGAGAAAGATGAGCAAATTGGTCTGAAGAAATGTGGTAGGCTTAGTTTAGACTCTTATTTCAGAGCAGTATAGTTAAGTATCAGAAACTATTTTTCTCCAATATGCAATGACTTTCCATTGAATAGCCTTTAAACAGGCTTGTGTAAACACAGCTATGCTGCACATCAGACAACATTTGATATGGCATGCCACTTTTTACATAGAAAGGTTTTAATATGATGATGAGCAGCAGAATAATGACAACATTTCCAGCATGGATTTGGATGATTTGAAAAAGCAAGAAGAGAAATGGCGCCGGTCAAATATTAATAATCTGAAAATGATGCTTATTTTATCAGAATGCATTGTGACTCTTCAAGACTTGAACCAGCGCTCCTGTCTTAGCAAAAGAAAATCTATATTTTGTTAAAATGAAGCTTTGCAATTATTTAAGAAGTGACTGATTATATCTAGAATGCTGGATGTATGAAAACTGCATTTTCAAAGACAGAATAGAGGGATGTGCTGTTCACTTTAAAGCTGTGTGCAAATGGCATTTCTGTGGCCCAGTTGTGGGTGGAGAACCTGTGAGAACTATCTCACCAGATTTCTCCCTGGACAGTAGTTCTTCCACACTTTCTCAGGGTTATCACCATTAGCAACGGCACAGCACAGGTTCTTAAGTTTTCATGGCTTTCTTTGTGGGTTTTGCAGCTGCTCCAACTGTTTTGGCCACCATTTTCTATTCTCCACAATACCCCCAAAGGCCACCCCTTTTCTCTGTCTCTCTCTCCTTTACTCAGAGGCTGTTGGAAAAGGGATGCTTCCCTGTTTGCCAGAGTTTTGAACTGACTACTCGAAATTCAGCCAAAGGCCGCCAGGCACACCTTAAGGGTTAACACCTGAGTTCCTCACTCCTTCATTGAACTGAATTCATCTGTTGAATTCCTAGGAACATAATACAAGTAAATGAGAAATGTCTAAAGCAGAGATGAGAAGGGTTGAGACTAAATAATAGCAGCTAGTTTGGACTTAAAGGGCAAAACCTATTCAGGAACGTACAAGGAGTGGGTTGGCTGGATGGTAAGATATAGTATTTGGTTACAAAGAGTAATGGATTGGGTTTGGATGCCGTGCTTGCAATTCCCAGGTTGCTTAACTCAGGAATTACAGGGATGAGTGAAACACATGAGCAACAACACTCTCATCCTTTCCATTTTTAATCTATCCATGAATGTTCCATTCCTGCAATGTTTTATACCAGGGGTTCTCAAACTTTTTGAATAGGGGGCCAGTTGAAAGGTGCCAGGGATGGGCAGGGGCCACCAAGGCAGTGCAGGCAGGGGGTGCGGTCCGGGTTTGGGGGGAGCGTGTGTGTGCATGCGCAGAAAGGCAAGGGCGTGCGTGCAGAGATCCTTTTCTCTGAACGAGTCCAAAATGATCTCCCACTTGCTCGGAGAAAAGGATCTCCTGGCAAGGTGCCAGCTTGCTTGCAAGGAGATCCTTTTCTCCAAGCGAGTCCAAAACGATCTCCTTGCGAGCAAGCAAGGTGGGCCGGATCAATGGGCATGGCGGGCCAGATCCAACCCACGGGCCGTAGTTTGAGGACCCATGTTTTATACTGTATGAATCTAGAAACTGATTTTTTTATGGCTTGCATGAGCCACAGGTAACCAATTGCCTATGCTTTGTTCATGACCTAAATCTGGCAGCATTATGTACATTATGGAGAATGTGCCTTGATGCATGTAATGCGAGGTTGCCTAGCTGTTGAGCATGATTTGCACATGCCATGTTGGTGGGTGCACTAAGCACATCTCCCACACTTTTTCCAGAAGGATGGACTGAAGGAAGGAAGGAAGGAAGGAAGGAAGGAAGGAAGGAAGGAAGGAAGGGGGCATTTATTCCTAAAAGCAATAATTGGATGTATAACTTTTCTTCCTTGATAGTTGACTGCTGGGATGGTCCAGATGGGGAACCTGTTGTGCATCACGGCTATACTCTTACTTCCAAAATACTCTTTAAAGATGTTGTAGAAGTGATCAATAAAAATGCCTTTACTAAAAATGAGTAAGTAACTTTGGACAATACATTGTATTTTATAAAGTATTGTCGCCTACTAAAAATAAAAAAAATAATATGAACTTCTTTTCATTCCTATGTTTATATATTGCCAGATATCAAGTGAGTTTAATCCTTTTTAAAAATATTTTTCCTGTTAACAAATCCAGAGCAAATTTTCTCTCACAAATAGAGTCCTGTTTCTTTTCTCTGACTAGCAGAAATATTTACTATGTTTACTGTGTCCCAAGACTTGTAAAACAAGCCCATGTGTTTTTACAAGAAGTAAGTTCCCATCTATTCAGTGGGATTTACTCTTTGTGAACTTGTTTAGAATGGTACCCATGTGGAACAGTCCAGAAGTGGAGCATGTTTGTGTATTGCTGAAATCTATTCAATATGTCTTGCTTCCCCATGTGCATAGGAACACTGTTGTAAGAACTTAACAGTGAGATTAAGAGTTTAAACTGTACTGAATTTTCTCTGTTTCACTTTTCACTCCAGGGACTAAGTGGCTATAATAAATTTTTAATGGAGAGACAGATGGGTTTTCCTGTTTTTTTCATTGACCTTCCCAACAACTGCTATGGCTGCTTCCACAGAAGAACTATGAGGCAGCCATCTCTGCTTCTGATACGCTCAGGCTAAGCAAATTGATGGGCTGGGGTTTTATTTCTTTTTTTCTTTTGGGACAACAGGCTGGCATGAGTAGGAGATGTGAAAGGAGTCATAAAATGATGAAGGGACAAGCAAAACCAACACACCCATTTGCTCTCATGTTGCACAGCAATGGGTTAGATACTTACCAAGATAAATTGTTTAGACTGTGTTTTTTTCTTCTTCTTTTAGGTTTCCAATTATCCTGTCTATTGAAAATCACTGCAGTATTCAGCAGCAAAAGAAAATTGCCCAATACCTCAAGGAGATTTTCAGTGACAAGTTGGACTTGAGTTCTGTGAGCGCCACGGATTCCAACCAGCTTCCAAGTCCTCAGAGTTTGAAAGGCAAAATCCTAGTCAAGGTAAATGGCTACCAAAGTGGCATTTGGTTAATTGCCAAATTGTTATTCTTACCCTAATCCATTTCCTCTCAAATGTGCCCCCTTTGAAAGATACTTGGAAAGGAAGATCGCTCTGCAGGTGTGCTGTGATATAAAATACCTTTCCAGAACTATGATAAGAGGGCAATAGATTCTTAAAATTGGAAGGGAGTCACCTAATTAACTCCCTTAGTATTATTCATTTCTATACTGGCCCACAGCCAAAGCTTTCTGAGTGGTTTACACAATCCTTAAATGATAAAATTTTAAATATTTTATTTAAAAAGTTTTAAGCAGCTAAAAAACAGCTAAAAGCAGAGGATAAAAACGGACAATACATAGAACCGACAAAAAGACTGACTCTATGAAACACCTGGTAATTTCTCTCAAGCCTCTGGGTGGCTGAGTAACCCTTAAAAGCCTCAAGAAAGAAGGTCATCTTAACCTGGCCCCCAAAAGATGACAGATTTGGGTTCAGCCAGGCTGGAGTGGGGAAATTATTCCATACATGGGGTGCCATCACTGAGAAAGTCCTTCCCCTTGTTGCCACCCTCTGCACTAATGCCGGAATGCGAAACCTACAAAATCCCTGACAATTGGCTGTTCAGCTTCTGCTTAATGCCTTAAGAGAAGGAGAGCCCTTCTCTTTTACTGCCAAACATTAGCAAGTTTTCTCTAGCATTCTTCTGATGGTGTTGGTTCGTATGTCATGGGAAGCAGTGCTGCACTGTATCCATGGCACACAGATTTTTTCCTCAACTCACCAGTCAGATGGTCACATGGTCCCCATGGCAATGTGGTTTCTATGCTCCTCACTTCATCCTCCTGCATTTACCTCCCATTCGAGCAACCTCTGCAAGCCAAATCCCGTGTGGACCTCAGTTACCTCTTCTTGATTGGTCGACTAATCTTTTGAGGCAGTTCTTCCTCTTCCCCTTCTAAGTTTATCTGTATCTCTGTAACATTTCCTAGCCACTCCAGCTCAAAATAGGGTTTTAAAAATTAAAGTAAAATAAACATTTTGCCATGATGCCCCTCTTCTCCCTCCATACATTCACCTGCTTTCTCCTTGTTTCAAATAGTTAAACAGGGTGATGTGTACATTGCTCAGCCAATAGGAACCAAGGAAGTGATGACACGTATTGGTAGGTAGGTGTGTAGGTAGTAGAGTTTGGATGCCTAGACAGCCCTGTCTGTTGTTGCTCTTTCCACAGGATTCTATGTTGCTCCCTAACCACCAATGGTAAAATGGAGTTGCCAGGGCTAGACATCATGAGAAACTGCAGTAAAGCAAAGGAACCTTGGAACAAACCATTGAATCTCTCCACGGTTTGGGAAAACCAAATTTGCCATGCCAAAATACTGCTGCTGGAAGCTGACTTCTGAACTATGCACAAGACAAGAATCCAGCAAAAATAACATTTGCCAAATTATTGTATGCTATGCTTTTGGTGACATTGATCCAGTTGGATACTGACCAAAATCTATAGCAATATCATTCAATCAGAAAAAAAGTGACTCAATTCTTGTGTCACAGAGGCAACAGTTTCACATAAGATGAATTGGCTACAATTTTGTTCCTGAATGTACATGCATCTAGTTCACTATGAATGTGCTTAGTATGAAACCACAATTGGTAGTGGCATCCCATGGCACATACTTATGTTCAAGTAGGTGATTAAGCATTGGTTGCATATGCTGGGCCACTTAAGAGTCGTGTTCATCTGCCAGAAGAGCAAGGCACAAAGGCACCCTGCCCTCTTACAGAAGCAGAGCTAGCAAAGTGGATGCCCCTTCTGAAGAAGAGAAATTTTCCGGTTTCTAGCTTTGTCTTTCATGTAGCAGAGTCTCTTTGCAGCTGCTGAGATCTGTCCCGGGAACAGAACCAGCTTTTGTTTTTCCTCTTATGTCTCCTTACAAAAGGCCAATTTGTCATTTGAGTTCTTTAACCTCCCAGCTGTATCCCACCCAGAGCTGGTAACATTTTACTTTATTTATTTATTGAAAATAATAGTTAGATTTATTAGATGCCAACTTTTGCACATAGTGACTTATGGAACAGAATTACTCCCTCTGCCACTCAAATTTGATCTTTAAATAAAAAAGAAAAACAATTCCCCATAATCATATAACCCAATCACTAAAGGAAAAAATAAACTCTGAACCATCAAAGCAGAAGCTTACGCTGTAATGTAAGAATGAAAGTAGAAGTTACACAGAGCATGATCAGATGTTAAAAGAGTGTGGCTACTCTTATTTTTAATAGTCTCAAGACATCCCCTTCCGGGGTGTGACATGGGCTTGACCTGGTACTTTTTAATTCCTTCTGATTCTGTTAGGAAGTATTCTTGCAAGAAAGATCAGATAATCCCAACTGAAGCAAGGAGATCATCCTCTGGAGAGCAGCACTGTTCCTATTCATATTTGGTTCTAATCTAACTCGAGCACATTTCATATCATGCACATGTAATTTCCTGATTGTCAATCTCGGTCAGTTCTTTTATTATTAACTTGCTCCAAATATCATATTTGATCTGCTCCGATAAGAAAGATTTTGTCATTCTGAGTAATATTATTGATTCAGAAGTCAATGCTGTACACCACTATTAAATGTGAGCAATAACACTTTTCAAGGGGGAGAAACTTGCTGAAGCAGAGCAGACAAATATAAAGGTAAATGCTAGATAGATACAATGGCTTGTAGGTACTTTGTACATCCATCTTGTGTCTGTGCTTCCCCATGGCTATGCCTTTCTGTGGAGCTTGCAACAAATCTTAGAATACAATACAAATACTATTTCTTATTTAAATATTTATTTAACTTGTATGCCACTCCAGTAGCCAAAAACCACAGCAGCAAATTAAATGAATCAATTTCACAGTATGGGCAGATCATACAATTGTCAACATTCCAGAATATCAAAAATGTTGAAAAGTCTAATAGTGCACCCTGGGCATGTCTACTCAGAAGTAAGTTCATAGGACTTACTCAGAGGAGAGGAGGTATAAGACTGTGGCCCCAGAAAGCCTCTAAAAGCTCTTAAAAGTCTAGAAAAATAAATTGGTATTCTCGTGTCACTTAAAGGATACCAAAAAAAAAAAAGGCACCAGGAAGGTCCACCTGGCATTTAGCAACCAGCGTGCCAGCATCAAAAAGTCTAGCAGTCACCATTCGAATCTCGCTAGAGAACAGTGCTTGGATTGGCATCTTCAGTCATGACTTCAGGGTCCACTTAAGTATATTTGGGAGAAGGTGATCCTTCTGGTAACCTGGCCCCAAGCCATATAATTCTTTTGTTTAAAGGCTAAAACTGGCATTTCAGCTTGGGTTCAGGAATAGACTATGGCCTCATACAGTATGATTGAAACATTTAGTCTCTGGGATGAGTGCTTGCATCTGCACCTGGTATTATGGAACCTTCAGTAACCCCATGCAGAGGTTACTGCAGTGAAAGAAACTGCTAGTTACCCAAGTGCCTGCTCTGAGCATCCAGTTAAACCTAGCATAGTTAATCATGCAGGACACACAAGAGGAGTATTACCTACTTCTGGCTCACTTTTAAGGTGTGAACGTATTCTTCTAATTTTTAATTCAGAGCAAGTGTCGATCCACTGTCAGAAATGCAGGAGACAGTGAAATAGAGAATGTGTGTGGATATAGGAAACCAGAGTTCACATCATCTGGGAAGCTAGCTGGCTGGTAACTTTGGACAAACCACTTAGTATGACCTACTTCAAAAGGTTGTTGTGTCACAAAATGCCCCTGTGAACTCTTTGGAGGAATGGGCAGCTGCAAAGTTAGCATTTGGAGCTGATGGGCAAAGTGATTGCTATGGCAGCACAATCCCCTATAGTAAAATAAGGATCAGTCTGCAATGGGCCGTATGCTCGTTGCAAGCTTCAACGAGCCTCTTTCTTCTTTGCTCATGTGAGCTGTCAAAAGGGACCACTTGTTCTTGTCCCTTCGGGTCCCCACTGCAACAGTGTGAGCTTTGACCGTCTCATATTACAGAGCAGAACAGCCTGGCAAAGGTGGCGTGAAACAGTCACAGATCCTTTTACACAAAGAAGCACTGACAAAAGGCACTGCTCAGTCAAGAGCATTTGAAAACCTGGCAGGGGGTGAGGGAAAGATAGACTCTGAAGAGCCCAGCTCTCCATGAGCTTTCTCTGTCAAAGAATTCATCTTCCTGAAGGTTTTGTTATTTCTGTTATAGAGGCTGTCAAGTCCTGGTGTTAAGAAAAGACCCTGCCAGGCTGTCCTTGAGAAATATGAGGACCCTGAAATTTTAAGCCACAGCTGCATAATATTGTTATCCTCAGATGTCCTTAGTACCTGTACTTTATAGACCTGTATCAGCCTCAGAGTTCATAGTGATTATCATTCATTCATTATCAAATTACAGAAATCTCAAGTACAAAGGGCTGGCAGAAATGTGATGCTTAACCATAATGAGTGGGTTCTCACATCATACTTGCAAATAAGCTATGGTAGCTGGGTTGTTCATTGAACAACCCATGGTCTGCCTGACAGATGATCAGGCTCAATTTGGGTTGTTCTCCCCAGCTTTCCCCCTCTGTTTTCTAGCTGTACATATCTCAGTGTTCTTTGTGGGAGAACCATCTTGTAGCTTTCATTTGCCTAGGGGCTGAAGCACTGCTAAATGCGGAAAAAGCAGAGAAAGTAGGTATTTCAGATAGGAATGACAGCAATATTGCTCCCCTGGTAATGTAATCCTTTCAATTTTAATTGTTGGTCTGACAGTTCTCAGTATGAACCTGCAGTAACTGCTCTGAAAGGGAATTACTATTTTGCCTATCTGGAGTAGCTACAGACTCTGGGAAGTGTTGAAAAAATGGAGGGCACTGAATTACTGTCAGTTTAACAATTAAAATTGAAAGGAATGCGTTTCTGAGGAGGTGCTAATGGCCTCACCCCTTCTTGGTGTGCCTTCTTTTGCTGAATAAAATAACAATATAACTTTACGGCATTTTTGCTGTTCTGATTTTATTTTAAATTGAAAGAGAGAAGTAGAATGAGTGATGGCTCATCCAAAGTGCCATCAGTGGAAGAGCAGTCATTGGCAAGGTCTCCAAACCAGCAGCAGGAGTTTTGCTGCTCTTGCCAAGTAGCTCCGTAGCCATTCCTAACAACACACAGCTGACAGGTTCAGCTGACACAACCAATTCATCATTGGTCAAACAACCAATAGAACAAGCCATTCGTTCTCTGGGTGGCTTTTTGTGAAAAACAAGTCACCCAACAGATAGCTTGTTGGGGTGGGACAGCATGACGACCCCCCACAACTAGTTACTACTAATAGGTTGTAGTGCTATTAAAAACCAGGTTATTCTGCTACTCCAACCAAGGTTTCAATCCCAACAATAGTTAAGCTAGCCTGTGTAGACTTTGTATACATAAAGATGGACAGATCTTCTTCTTCCAGAGGTAAGGAAGAGGTAGAGAAATTGCATCGAGGCTGGGAAGCAAAACTCACTTTCTGAATGCTGCTGGACTCAGGAGGATGCGATAATTTGTAGCAACCCTTCTCAGTTCGTCATTAACTAAGCTGATTGGCAACAGCAGGATTTCAGTCCGGATTATTTCCTAGCCTTAATCTGAAGATGGCAGGGCCTGAAGCAGGGACCTCCTGTGTGCACAAAATATGTTCCGTACCACCAAGCTGTGTCTCTGTTTCTGAGGAAATAGGCGTTTGGTTGTACCATGTGTCTGCATAGTTGGTGAAACCACAATTAAACCAAAGCATTTCATTTGTTTTACATTCTCATTTGCGGCCTGTTCTTAGCAATGGTCTAGGTATTCTGATGTAATGCTTAAGAATGATTAATGAAAACAAACTATGGCTAAGCATTATGTCTGTAGTAAAGCCAGATGTAGTGAAGTTAAGCTCTTTCAGCCTTGGTCAAAGGAAATGAGAGAATATAGGCAATGAAGACATGCAAAATGCAACTATGGGACCATTCTATTTGTCATCATTATGAGCTAATAAAAATCTGGTACTAAAATACTCCCAAAGCACATACGTTATTATATAAAGTGATCTCACACAACTCTAGTTGGAACCTGCGTCTTCCTCCACAGTTGAGTTTGCAGGCCTGTTCCAACCCATTAGTGTCTAAAAGATTTAGGATACTCATTTACAAAAATGTCATCAATCCTTAAAGTACATCTATCAAAATCAAGAACACAGGCAAATCTGCTAATTTTGTGCTTTGAAGAAAACCGTCGTGTTCAGGTAATGCATATGCCACATTAACTGTGCAGCCCAACCCCAAATTCAAAACTATTAGGAAGTTAGGTTTTACAAGGGAGCTTCATACTGGAAACATAATAATTTCCTGGACTTCCATCAGATTGGAAAGATACATCCAGAGGCATTCTGCAGCACATACTGCAAGATGCAGCTTTTTGTATGAGTTTATTTGAATGTAACAGTAGGTAGCTTGCATAATAATGGGACAGGAATTTTAAAACTGGGAGGGGCTGTAAACATTTTCGAAGATTATTTGGCAACATGTTTCAATAAATTAGGGTACCAAATGGGTAATAATAACATTTAAGAACCATAAATAATTTTGTAAAAGAAAGAATAAACTAACAAAATGAAATGATTTACATGTTTAGAACTGTTGCAGCTTTCTAGGATTGTCCGAAGTCAGAGGAAAGTAAAAGGAAATGTATTTTTGTATGAGAAAGTATGCTCCACATACTTGCTCCTGAGTGTGAAAACCTGTTTTCCCATGGAAAACTTCAGATGGAAGGCTGCAATTCTAGGCCTTTCACTCCATCTTTGATTCTATAGGGGAAGTTTTAATAGGCAGTGAAGTCAATTGTGCAATGTGGTAATTATTGTTCAAGTCCTGGAAAGAGTTGCACCACACATCTCAGACTGTGCAGCTTGCTCTAAGATGAAGAACAACTGGTTAGAAAGCAGCATGTCTGAGAAAGATCAAAAATCATGAATTTAAGGCTGAATTATCAGTCACCTGCAGGGCCAGCCTTAACATTACATAGGGTGAGATGGCCACTGAGACAGCTGTATTTTTGGGTACCATCAAGAGCAGCAAGTAGATATTTAATTTATCTTTATTGGATTTTTGCTCCCAGGGAGCAAAATAATAGAAGACTGTAAACTTCAGTTATTTAAAAATGTTGGAATGAAAATAGGAAACAAATGCCTATGACTTGATTCATCAGTTAAAAGTATTTTTTACAATCAGAATGCTATTTTATCTGATAGAATCATAGTATCACTTTGGCTGCCTACAATTTATTTATTGGAAGGGAATATTCTTTGCAGTTTCTAATTTCAAACTGAAATCATTACAACAATATTTCTATGGCCATTTCCAGGGTAAAAAGCTTCCTTATAGCCTTGGTGCAGATGCTGAAGAAGGGGAAGTATCTGACGAAGACAGTGCAGATGAAATCGAAGATGACTGCAAGTTAAAGCTGTCTTATGTAAGTGTGCATAATTATTTCCCAGTATCTTCTTTTCCAACCGTGGCATAAACCTGCCTTTCTCGCACAGCTTAAATTGAGATGATAGTACATGCTAACATATTAGGGTTCATAGCTCAGTTTAAAACCATAAGATAATGACCCTTTAACTACTTTATCCTATGATGGCATATGGTTTTCAGGGATAAGATAACTGGTGTAGTATTCTTATGCATATAAGACATTTACTTACTGATTTGGATGTTTATAAATGCATTTCATTGCATTTATTATATTTCATCCCTCCCAATAAAACAAGCTCTCTGGGTGGTTTACAAAGATTCAAACAGTGGAAACAGATGATAAACCATATACGTTATACATGGTCCTAGAAAGACAGAAAGAATGATGCAAGGTCATTCCCTAAGGTATTCATAGAAATACCATACAAACAACAGCATTGGCTCTGGAGTTCTGATGGAGACATTGGGGAACAGTGGTCCTCAAACTGATTGTTCCATCCTGCTGCATCTTCCCGTACTTCCTGGAATTCTGGGGACCCTCCAGGTAGCACAGGAGACTGCAGGAGGGGCAATGAGGAAATGGAAGAATCACCTCCCTTCTCTTTCCACTAGAAACCTCTGCTGGATCTCACTTCCCTCTGTGAACAGGATGACGACTATGCATACAAACCAATGATAACAACAGGCTGTTATAATAATAATATTATTAATAATAATAATAATAATAATAATAATAATGGATTTGCTTGATTCTTTTCCACCATGTTCTTTATCTTTTACTTCCGCTGTCTGCAGGTTGACACAGTCTTCCCCACTCCTCTATTTTTGTCTTTTCAGATTTTGTTGTTTCCACTGTTCCTTTGTGTTGATAATTTGTTGTGCTCAGTGGCAAAGCAACACAGCTGATCCATTATGAACAGATGTTCTGCTCTAGCCCAGAGGAAGTCATACTTGGCTGACTCAAAATACTTCCATATCAGTCGATATATATGTAGTCTGGTGCAAAGTTAATCGACCTAGGAATTGGCAAGAGCAGAGGCAACTTCATTGAGTGTAGGTGTGCATGTGAATTTGGTTTTTAGATGCCCACCTTACCTACAGTTGAGTTCTTGCCTTTAGAGATACATTTGCAAAATGTTCTCGTTGTTTTCCTCCTTAGTCATTTGCATCATCTGCTGGGATATTAACATTTTCCAGAAAGGCTTGGGAATTGCTTGGTTGCTTAGATATTACAGGATCCCATCAGATTTGGGGTTGAGAAAGCAGATGCTCATATTACTTTCTGTCTTTTTAAAAAAAGATTCTTATCACAAGGTACTGCAAAATGTCAGAAACTTCTCTTAGTCTTGTCTGACTTTTATGCATAAATTATGCAGTGACCCATCTGCTGAAGCAAGTGTGTGAGGAATACTCCTCCTCCCCAGTGATGAAGGTCGGGATAGTATACAACAGTCTCAGCCCTTGTGGACTGAGGAGTTGCTTCAAGAAGAGACATGGTTTGGCTCTGGGTGCACAAATCGCAAGGCAGATCAAATGCAAGCATGCAGGGACCCAAGATGTGACGGTCCTCCCACTACATGAAAACATTTTACTTTCCTTGGTAAAGCCCACAGTGGTAGGTTGAATCCAGCAGGGACATGAGTATTCATAGTTTGCAGCTCCTTCTCTTCCCATCCCATCCCACTTTCATTCTGCACAGTGAAAGTAGCACTAGAATGTCAAAAGGGACCCTCTGGCGGGATGCTAACTAGTCATTCCAAACAGAACGCTACTGAATATTGCAGGCTAACATACATCCTTTTGCACTGTGCATTCTTCCACTATCTGGTGTTTTCTAGAACTGTTGGACTATAACTCCCAGCATGCCCCAGGGAATTGCAGTCCAGTACATCTGGAAGGCACTTGGATGGGGAAGGCTGACGTGCACAAAACACTAGCAGGCTGGATGCATGCATGCCTTGTGCGACCCTTGTGACATTTTAATTCATCCCCGTGGTTCCCAACCAGAAATGGCACTTTGTTCATCAGAGGCAGCTAAGGAAAAGCCCTGCAGGACCTCTCGTGTGCTTCCTTCTATGTCCTGTGGAGTGAAGCCACTCTGTGGCAGCTTTTCCATGGTTAGTTCTCCAGCACATGCACAGCTAATCCAAGTTCCCATTTTTTCCAAACAGTGGTATGAACTAGGCTGTTGCTCAGACGTTAAGTGTACAGAATTCTCACCCCAATCTGTTGAGCCCTTCATGGTTTTGGCTGTATCATATGAGAAGGTAGACCTTGACCCAGTGCTTTACCTGAGGTAGTTATCATAGAAATGTCAGGGAAAGGAAGAGTCTTTCAGGGAAAATATTACTGGCTTGGTTTGCTCCTTCAGGAGTTCTAAAGGGGAAAACATAGTATAAAAATGTAACCTCAGGAGGTAGTTTCTTACACTAACCCACTTCTACTTCAACTGAACATGTACGGAGAATAGGGTGCTTGGGTGGAAATGTCTATCCAGGTTTATGTGCTTAAAAAAAGTCACTCAGGAATTTGCATTGGGGTTTACTGATTTCTTTCAGAGTAATGGCACAACGGAGCACCAGATGGAATCTTTTATAAGGAAGAAACTTGAATCCTTGTTGAAAGAGTCTCAGATCAGGGACAAAGAAGACCCTGACTGCTTCACTGTGAGGGCGCTTTTAAAAGCAACACACGAGGGCTTAAATGTAAACTTCAAGCAGGTATGAATCCCCACCCCACCTCATCCCACTGGGTATTTCTGTCTCTAGCATTGTTGAGGTGGAATTAATGTTAGTTGAAAGCTTGCCATGGAGAAGAAATAGCATTATTTCATTTTATAGAAGAAATGCATTGGGATGCAATGTGCAAAAGTCCTTTTAAGAAAAGCTTCTTTGAAAGGAAGTTCCCACTGCAGCCCTCCTCAAATCTATCCACGAAGACCGCCTGGGTCAGCAAGAGTTGAACCATTTCAATTCATTCTTGAGCTCCTCTTCTGAGGCAGGTTTCCCAACATGATGTGTTGTGCTGCAGTTCCTGCAAGGTATTGTGATTGATGCCAACTTTGATGACGTTAAAACAGGATCAAGAGAGAGTGAATGATCTCATGTCCTCCTTGTAGGCTTCCTGAAAGCATCTTCACTGGGAAGACAGGATGCTGGAATGGACGGGCTTTTGGTCTGACTCAGCAGAGCCCATCTTCATGTTCCTAAAATGCTTCATGTTGCTTTCTTCTAGGGATTCAAGCTCTTTGGACCATGGACACATTTTTGACTGCTGTAAGGGGGCTTGTCACAAGAATGTTAGGAGTGCACCCCTATCCATGTTTGTGCCTGTTCATGAAAGTGCACCATAGGTTACCCTGGCCAGTGTTAGTCCTACTTAGGGAGAACCATTGAAATTAACAAAAACATATATTAGTTACCTAGAAGCCGCTATTTTTAATAGACCAACTGTAAGGAGGACCAGTAAAGGATCCAACCATGTGTTTGTGTGTGTGTTACCCACTCTGATTTCTCTATTTCTCATGCTGGTTCTTTTCTCATCTCTTGCTATTGTTCCTTTCTTCCTCTCTTGCTAATATACTCCTCCCTCCCTCCCTCCCTCCTCTCTGGCTCCTTTATATTTACAGAAAAATATGTTCATTCAACAGTTCCTGATCAGGGTGAGATGTCAACCTAGTAAGACTCCTGGGGTCTTGTATTCCTTTCTTCTTCCTTTTTTCAAATTTAAAATACATGTAGTCCACTTTTATACACAATCGAGCCATCAGGGCATGCTATTCAAAACAATTAGGCACAGGATCTTAATCCTGTGTAAAACAAAAGAAAGTTCCTTCCAATAGAGATGAGCAAAGAAAAGGAAGGAAAATGCTTGGAAATGTATCAGTAATCAAATGCTTTAACAAATGAAACCTTTCACTTGGTGCTGGCAAGGTAACAATCTTAGCCTTTTGCCGAAGATACTCTGCCATTGGGAAGCCACCACCACCAAAAAGGCACTCACTTCACCTTTGCAGCACTCACTTAACCTTTGAACACAGCAGCATCTCAATGAGTGCTTCCAAGGAATGGCAAGTTTCTTCACTGTGTGGGGGTCAAAGTCTAATCAACATTGAAATAACATGTACTTGAGCTCCTGATATATCCCAAGAAAAAATGCAGGTTTTCACTTGAGGAATCAGCTGTGTGCTAAATGAGGTTGGAATGTCTCCTCTGTAAGCAAGATTTGTTCATACGCAGTCAGTCGCCCATACAATCCCACAGGACATTTTTGCTTTCTTGTGAGTAGAGCCTTCTTTCACAGGTGCTTGTGCCCAAGAGAGGCTAGTCCTTTTCCAGACACCTGTCTTGACTTTGGACGCATAGAACCATGTTAGACATTCCAAATCAATTGTATGTGACACAAGTTGCATGAGTCACAAGTGCTTTTCCCGTTCTTCTTGTGATGCGTCAAGGCTGGCTTTCACTGTGCAATTGCATCCCTTGCTCTCTTCCTCCAGTCAGTCTATTCATGACATTTCAGTATTGCCTTATCTGTTAAAAGCTGTCAAGCCCGTGCAGTAAAATGGTAAACCCTTAATCAATAATAAAAAATTGAACAAGGTGTTGATGTCTTTATTAGAATAGGAATTAAAACTGCACATTTTGGAAGATGAGAATCAAAAGGTGAGACTTGCTAAAGGCCAAGGATAGCTCTTAGGGAAATGCATTCCAATTTTGGGGGCAGCGCAGGACAGAGTCCCAGGTGTCCCTCACAGATGGTCTGCATTTTTCCCCTGGAGAACACCCATCGAGAGAGAGAGATTTCCTAGCATAAAACCTGCCCCTGGAATTAGAGATAAATATCTGGAAATACTGACTAGAGTTTGTCAAGCTTGAATAAGTCCAGAAAAGAAGAGGGGGTGGGGAATTGTTTCTTGTTCTTCACAAAAAGCTAATGGAAAAAACATTTCTGCCACAGGCCACATTTTATGTAACTGGAAGGACTTGCTCTGTGAATAGCTGAGGGAATGTATTTCAGTGCCTTTTTCAGCTCTTCAGAGAGATGAAAGAATGTGATTTTCTGACAGCTACACTGGATCCTGCCACATATCATCAAACTGATGACCCCTGGGATTATTCTTACAGGGAATCTCAGGTCACCCAGCAAATGTCACATCTCTCCCCCCCCCCCCCACCCTGATTCCCCATTTATCTAGGAATTTCAGAACTGTGACAGTTGAAATGTTTTCCATTTTGGAGAGCATGCTCCTCAGTTCTCCCACCTGCTTACTGAGGAATTTTCCTGTAGGTAGTTCAGAAGTATGATATGCAAATAATTTGATTAATGGGATCACACACATAGCTAAATACTGCTGAATATTGTAGTATGATATATGCTCAATTAAGAAGTAAGATGTGATTTTTGTAGATGGGACAAACCCAAGCACCCTCATGAAATGCTTTTTTCCTTGCCCTGTCCTCCAAAATCTTAAGCATGTACAATAAACAGGTAGTTGGGAACTTAATATAATCCAATACCTACCAGAATAATACCTTAAAACAATAACTTTCCTATAGGGATGAGTAATAATTTAACTGAGCTTCATAACTTCCAGCTCTGAATCTTTTGTAACTGTTGGGATTAGTTGTCTCTGTGCAAAAAGGATAGACCCCAAAGGATTAGGAAACAGCCTTACACAGAGTCAGGTGGTTGGTCCATGTACCCCAATAGTGCCAAATAATTGTGGGCCATTTTAGAAGTAGAATTTCACAAGCCGCCTGGCATGCACTTCAGTGACCTGCTCTTAGTGCAAGGCTAGCAAATCAAAATCCAGGGGGCAAATTATAGAAATCCTTCAGATTTTCATCCCCCTGTCAGATTCCTTACGTGGCCCTAGATAAATAAAAGGCCTTCATTTGGCATGTAAAATGCATCAAACTGGGCTTTGGGCAATCAGTGCTGTGCAGGGTGGGGGTGGGGGAATTTCCAGACTTGGGATTACCACTGCAGAAGGTTCCTTCCCTGGGAGCTGCCTGTCTGACATCTGGAGGCAGGAAAAGGTCCTCCGATAATTATTTCAGCAGATGGGCAGGTCCATGTGAGAGCAAGCACAATGCGTGCATTTACTCAACGCTATCCCTGAGGTAGATTCACGTCTCATTTTGTTTCTGCAGAACTCGGATCTGAAAGATACCAGCAAGAAATCTCACAGTAAACTAATGAGCAACTTTGGTAAACATAAGGTAAATGTTTGACTATGTATATTTGCATATTTTAGTATATAATCAACCCAAGCACAGATGGAAAGTTTTTGGAAACCTTCAACTTCAAAGAATGCTTGTTTCACCTTTCGGTCCATGGTGTGAAAACTATGCATATCAATGTTACCTGAAGATTAATTCAATAATCAGTTAGTTGCCCCTCATTTTTCTGTGAGTTAGGGATTCTGTGAGTAACTCTTTTTTTCTCATTGGGATAACTGGTCCCCCCAATATACTACAATACTAAGCAGTCTGTGGACTGGCCAAATACATAAAGACCTTTCTCATCCCCATTGTTCAGATGAATTAAATATGTACCATTATTGTAGATAAGTACTCATAGATCTGATTGGTATATGGATGGCATGCTCTCCAGTTTGTCCGTGTTTTCCTTAAATGGGGCACCAAGAACTCAGTATTAAAGACACAGATTGATAAGCACAGAGAAAAGCATGATGATACTTCTCATGGTCTGGATGCTATGCCCCCATTAATGTAGCCTAAGCCTCAGCTGGATGGAGAAGAAGGTCTTGGATCCCACATTCTAGTGGAGGATGGGGTTGATGGCAAAAGGGGTGGAATCAAAAACTCATCAACCCTTTTCAACATATTTTTGCTTAAAGTGCTTACTGATGTTAACTAAGCTTTAGGAGGGGCATTTTAACCTTTAGGATGGAGGGAACCTGCATAAAAGTTTGGCAAAGAGGGTGGGACCTTCTGGGGAACTTAGGAGGTTTGGATTGTCTTGTAGTTTGGCACCCCGCCATACAGAAGTCTAAGCCCGTCTGAGCTTCCCTAATCAAGACTGGGGTACATTTATTTATTTATTTAGAGTTTTTGTATGCCGTCCCATCGCTTAACACCTCGGGATGGCTTACATAAATAAACAAATATAATACAAAAAATACAGATTATACAGATTAAAATCCCAATTCATTCTGGCTGCAAATTAAAACCTATAGTTAATATTAAACATTATTAAAATATTGTTTAAATAAAAAGGTCTTATCCTGGTGCCGAAAAACAAATAACGACGGCGCCAGGCGGACCTCTCTGGGGAGCGCATTTGATAGATGGGGCGCCACCTCAGAGAAAGCATGTTGGAAGCAGGTTAATAAACATACAATGTCAAACTGTACAGGGTCAAAGAAGACCTTTGACTCAGACATTAGACAAAATGTTGTGTGTGAACCCACCTAGTTTCCTTTGAATATACGCAGCTGGGATATTCTTACCTCTCAGTAGTACCACAGTGCAAACACAGTTGAAGCTGACTTAAACCGTGTCGAGTAAGCAGTTATTCAAAAGTGGTTTCCCAGTCACAGTAATACACTTAACTGTGCAAACATGAGTGCTAGGATATGTTAAACTACGGAAGTCGAATGGAAAATATTTACTTACATACTTCACCATAAAAGCTTGCAAACAAACAAACTACAAAACTAAACTTCAACTGCAGACAAAATCAATGAGTTATTTTGTCCATTCAATCCCTGGATGAATTCTATTTTTGGTAATTCTCATGTTTGTTAATTCTCCACACATTGATAAGAGAAGAACTGCCATATAATAGGTTGCTTATTTTAAAAATCAGCCTCTGAGGAACATAAAATTACTGACTACTTTGAAGAGAGTAAAGCATTTCAGTAATGTAATAATTTCACTGAATTAGCCTAATTAGACTTGCTCCATTTTCTTCATATCTCTATGAAAAAATATAATAAATGTTATCCTTAATGACCCTTGCAGAAAGCATTTGAAGAGGCTTTAATAAAAAGAGAAGCCTTTAATACTTTGGTTTTGTTAGCTTGTGGCAATAGAGATGTTTAGTGATGATTTACTAGAAATTACATGTGTACATATTACAGTACTTGATGTTTAGGCTTTTTAAAAGTCTGCTGTGGATTTAAATGAAAATCACAAAATGACAAAAGAACATAAATGTGTTCATATATATGTGAAGGTTTTCAGCATATGCCTTAACAAATGCAGGCATGGTTCAAATGTGGCATTTTGCTGGATTTTCACAGAGCCAACTGTGGTCTTCTTGCACCTGAGTAATAAGTGTTCCTTGACCATCCCATGTATTTGAGTGAATTCTTGACAATAATAACTGATAATGAAAGATGATGATGGCATTTATTTTATTTATTTATTAAAACATTTTTATGCCGCCCCATTCACCGAAGCCTCGGGGCGGCTTACAACAATAAATTAGGTCCATATAAATAACATTAGAATACATTAAAATAAAATACATTAGAATAAAATAAGCCGCCCTGGCCAGATAAAATTCAATAGTATTAACATTTAAAATGCTGCTTAAATAAAAAGGTCTTCGCCTGGCGCTGAAAAATAAATAACGACGGCGCCAGGCGGACCTCTCTGGGGAGCGCATCTTGTCTAAGCTGCAAAAAGGGATGGTGGGGGGAGAGAAAGAGATGTCTTGGTTGTTGTGTGTGTTCCCTTACTGCTTCTCTATCTCTTTTGTTTTAACACAGTAGTGCAACAACAAGCATAAAAGCATTCAGGCAACCCCTGATAAAATTTGAGGGTGATGGGGCTATACAGGATTTCTAGTGACTGTGATACTAGGTTTCCGCATACTAAATAACACCTTATAATTAAATTAGACAAAATATGCACCTCCTTGCTTGCTTTGTATATTTTATTTGGCTTCATATTCTATTCCTCTTTGTTCGTGGCTTACCTGAGGTTCCTGGCACTTTCCAACACCTTTGTCCACACCCACTTAGTTCCCAGAGTGCTGCAGCGTCAAGGGTCTCAAGCCATCTGTATAGGCTTCGGAGTCAAGCTTTCCTTGGCACAGGATCTTTACTGTTGTTACACTGCAGAATATACCCAGCCCTTCCTAGTGAGTCCTTTGAACCATTTGGTGCAGTTGCTATCAAGAGCATGGGTACCTCACAAGTGGTACCTGCAACAGAGCTGTTGTTCAGGGTGCTCCTTATTCAATCGTACCCTTTTTCAGGATGTTCCAACCTGGGCGGCAGTTTCCTCCATGGTTAAGCAGCCTTCTGGCCCACTAAGCATGCGCAGTCCTCCTTGAATTGTTTTGATCTTCTCTTCCAAAGCCTGGGTTTTTTTACAGGAAGCTTTTTACAAGTCTCGGGGTTTCCTGGAAGCCTGCTAATTCCTGGTGTGCACCAGTTGCTGGGAAATGTGGACAGGAGGGCGCTGTTGTACCTATACCTGCCTGTGGGATCCTGTGGGCGGCTGGTTGGCTACTATAGGAACAAAATGCTGGATGAGAGGCACCATTCGTCTGAGCCAACACAGCTCTCTTTATGTTCTTATAGTCTTACTTCTCTCACGTGTCTCTCTCTCGTGTGAATGGTGCTGTCTTAGCTGCGTCAGGATCCGCACTCTGAGAAGGAGGTTGCTAGCAGATGATACACTGGGCCTCTGCAAGAGTAGTGGAACTTAAAGTAACATGCAGAAAATGGCATTCACATCAGGGATTTTACTTTTGCTAATGACAGTAAGGAAGCACAGTCAAGTCCCAGGAAACTGGCAAACCCATCCTATTGAACAAGAATAAATATGAGCATACAAAATTCTAGGCTGAATTTTTTTTTTTAGGTTGAAATTTTTTATTTAAATAAAAACATACTACAAAATTCTAGGGCCCAAAGGAAGTGCATCGTTAGTTTTTCAGGTGAGCTAGCATGCTCCAACTTTGCAAAAATTGAAACCTTAGCATATATATGGATATAAAATATACATGAAGGCAGTTGAGTATTTTATAGAAATCTGATTTTCTGTAAATAGGCTGCTTTTCAAAGACTATTGTCTGATGTTTTATTCACATCTCTTAACTTTGGGCATGCTCCCAGCAAATCTTAAAATTGTTTTATGCACCGGCAGATTCAGTGGGAGTGTTGAGCATATACCAAATTCTCTCCTTTTGCCAGCAGTTCACTTTGGCTGGATTAAACCCTTTGATAGAAAACTGGATATAACATTAGTACTAGGGGTTAGGATATTGTGAACCAAACAATAGCTTGGTGGCAGAACACATAACCTGTCATATCCAGTTAAGATGTCTCTGAGGGAGTGCAGAGGAAAACACTTCCTGAAACCTAAAGAAGTCACTGCTAGCCAAAGGGGACCACAGAAGGATAGATAATTCAATAAAACAGCTTCATAGAGTCCACAATGCCACTAAATCAGATTTTGGCTTCTCAAACAGAAGGCAGCTAAAGCAAGGTCCAAATCTCATAGTGCCTCTGATGATGAAGATTCTCAGCAAAATGGTCCTGCAAAGGAATCTGGACAGTTATACAGGTTAGTAATCACTTCTCCCAACCATTTCACTGTTCTCTGAACTGTCTTGTAAGGAACATTTTATTATTTTCTGGAATGTAAGCAGCAATTATTTATTTAGAATGAATCACAGCAGGATGGTGACAGGGCACATTTTAGATGAAAACAAGCCAAACAAGTAACACTGTCTAAATTCATAAGTAAAAACATATGAATGTTGCAGATAGAAATGTTGCTTTTCAGAAGTTTCTTGCACACCTTACTTTGCCGTTGATTTTTGTCTAGATGCTGCTGTTTTTATTAGATGTGAATAGATGGCATGTATATATGAAAGAAAGAAGGGGAAAACAGGATTAAAAATAAATGAGTAGGACTCTTTGAAACTGTTGCATCTCCTAGCAAACCTGTTTCTTTTCCCCATTTTTTTGTCCTTTGAACCCACCCAGTCAAGTGATGTCTGTAGTTTCAGAAAAGATTCATATGTTGTCAATGCATTTTTTCTGGGTTTAGTTAGAGCAGGCATAGCATGAGAGAGAAGTCCACAGTTTACATTTAGGAACATTTTCTCTTCTCAATAATAATTAACAGGTTGGGCCGGAGGAGAAAAACAATGAAGCTGTGCCGCGAACTTTCGGATTTAGTGGTGTACACAAATTCAGTGGCAGCTCAAGACATTCTTGATGATGGTAAGGTTGTGGGTAAATACTTTAGCCTATCCTTTCCTGGTATAGAATACAGATCCATTCTTGTAAAAACAATGTGCATACACACCTGGGAATGTTTCGAGCAGTGCTGGCATGAATGTGAATATTTTGGAATTTGAGCAATGCTGTTGCACACGACTCATTCATGCCTCCATTCAAGCAGTTTTGGCTTGGACAGGAGATGTTTCCAGTGTTCATTACCCAGGGACTACTATCCAGAATTCACTTCCTATGATACATTTCTTCTGAAGTCCAAGAAGATAACAATGAAATCTCAGTGTGCCAGCTCTTGGTTATGTGGATCACCATCCACAGTTACTCCTTGGGGAGAAGCTTTCATTAGAGTCCCTGTTTATATATTAGAGTGCCTCGTGGCAAGTCAGTCGGGGGAGAAGCGTCAAAGGTACTTGCAGGCTTGCGATTCAGTCTAGTAATACAAGGAGAAGCACTTCCCCCCTTACCTAAATTGACATATGTAAATGTACTTAAGTTGTAGAATTATTTCAGCTGGTCAAAGAATCCACAGCTTCTCTTAGTGTACAAATGGACAATCCGGGATAGAAATGATAAACCTTATTAAACTATAGGCTTCATGGAGTGTTGTGATAGAGACCATCTATCTTGCTGAATGTGCCTTCAGTAGCATTTTCACATCCCTTCTGTATTCCCTACGATCCCCTTAATATGTATTGACACCCAGGGAACTCTTCTGAATATAATGCTATGCAAATAAGAGTGCCTGAGTTTCTCACATTTGCTCCTCATTTGAATAGCTGCAGACATATTCCATTTCAGTTTTTGTGGGGTGCACTGTAGTGTCTGAGAAACAGTGATTATACTGAACATAAGTTTTGTTTGACATGCAGTTCTAGCTGTGGCTTTAAAATGGGAATATGAATATGCATATTAAAATTTATGCGTTTCAAAGCCCATCTTTTTGGGGTGCAGCCAGTGTTTGCTGTATTAATTTATTGCATTATAGCAGTACTGAGTATCAAAACTGGGAGGTTGCCGTGTTGCCTTGACACTGGCCTGTAGCACTTCCTCCTCCTTCTATTCAGGCAAAAATAGGATTCATTTACCCTTGATGATAGCACTGCACAAACACTTGATTGATTGATTGATTGATTTCATTTTTGTACCACTCAATAGTTGAATCTCTCTGGATGTTTAACCAAAGTCACATCTGATTGGCTATGTGTGGCTGAGATCAGATCATGCAGAAAGTTTTTCAGGTTAAGTGGTGCTGAAGCAGCAGATTAGAGCAATGAATAGCTGTGAAAAAATGCAGGTTAGAGTGGATGGTAAAGTTTGGGGGTGGGTCTTTTGGCTACTCAGAATTGGATTTCATTCCAAAACTTATTCTCAGGTGAAAATTTTGTGTACTGCTCATTTTAACATCACTTTATTATTCCATTTTTAGCTGAGGAAAAGCCTTTATTGATATAATGTATTTAGTGTTTTCTCTCTCTTTCAAGGAAACAATTTGCATGTGTCTGTCAATAACTTTTCATTTTAAACTATTGTTCTGCATAAAATCTAAGTACATTGTATATGCTGTATGTACATTTCCTATACATTATTTTCTGCTAAACATTCAGGATCTGTGGGGAATGTGTTATCCTTCAGCGAGACAAGAGCACACCAGGTGGTGCAACAGAAGGCCGAGCAGTTTATGCTTTACAACCAGAAACAGCTCACTCGGATCTATCCATCTGCATACCGGATTGACTCCAGCAACTTCAATCCTCTGCCATACTGGAATGTTGGCTGCCAGCTGGGTGGGTGCTGTAGTGCATATACAAGTTGCATATCAACATATTCTACCTTTTGCCCAATCCAGAGTTTGGTAACTTGGGGCCCTCCAGTTCTACTGGCTACAACTACAGTAGCCCGTGCTGACAGTTGATGGAGCTGCAAGCCAGTATAACTGGAGGGCAGCAAGGTACCTACCCTTACCTTAACTTGTGAACCTGTGGGGTTCCTGTTTAGCTATTTTCACTGCCTGTTTCCGTGTGGCATTGCTCGAGCATTCTTACAGGTACTACTTGCATTGCTGCTGCACTGGATGTTAACTTATTATTATTATTATTATTATTATTATTATTATTATTATTATTACTACATTTCTATGCCGCCCCTTGCCGAAGCCTCGGGGCGGCTTACAACACAATAAAATACATTGAAATACAATAGAACATAATAAATTACCATTAAATACAAAAATACAAAAAATACACTGAGTTGCAAACATAATAATATAAAATTAAAATTATCATTATAAAATAAGTAAATAAATAATATAGGAGGAGAAAAGAGAAGGAAGAAGAAGTTGCCCTGGCCAGATCATATGTTTTAACAATTAAAATGATGTTTAAATAAAAAGGTCTTTACCTGGCGCCGAAAAACCAGTAACGACGGTGCCAGGCGGACCTCTTTGAGGAGTGAATTCCATAGGTTGGGAAAAGCATGTGGACCTGTGATGATGACCTGTGATAGTGGACAGGCTGGGAGGGAAGAGTAAACTGCAAGTTCCAGTGGGCCAGGAGTATGTCGTGGGGCTTTGCAGGAGCAGTTGACTAGCTGGCTGTCTCCTGGAACTGTGAAAATCAAAATGGTCTGCAGTCAGTAGGATTAGCCCTGGGAGCTTCTGGGCTAGACACTCCTGTGTTTCTAATCTTCTACAGAGAAGGTGACCATAGGTGAATTGCTAGGGTGAAGGAGAATTTGGTGGCCTGTCACCTGTTCCATCTAGCTCTTCTGACGAATGCAGGCCATCTGTGGAGCCATGCCCATTATCTTCAGCTTCATATAGAATGCCAGGACTCGCCCTTCATAGGATTCTTATGCAGCTGGGGATGGATGGATGGATGGATGGATGGATGAATGGAGGGAGGGAGGGAGGGAGGGAGGGAGGTGACATTAGTTGTCCTTCTTCCTCCTCCTCCCTTTTACAAGTATATAAAACGTTTACCATGGTTGGTGGGCAAATGTTCCCCCAAGATGTATTACTACTCACACTGGGAGATATGATTTGAAAACAACATGCCTGTCTTCTTCTACATGTTTAGACATAAAATATTAACTTTATGAATAATACAGAAATCTGTTAATTTCACAGTGGCATTAAACTACCAGTCTGATGGACGTGTGATGCAGTTAAATCAGGCAAAGTTCAGGATGAATGGGAACTGTGGATACATCCTGAAACCTCATCAGATGTGTAAAGGTAGTCTTCTGGAATGCATTTAATATCCTACAGCTGCTGTGCATTCATTATTTTATACCAAGAGTCACCAGCAGGATGTGCTATAGTTAATACTTAGAGCAGTGATGGCAAAACTTTTAGAGACCAAGTGCCCAAATTGCAACCCAAAACCGACTTATTTTTGGCAAAGTGCCAACACAGCAATAAAACCTGAAAACTGAGGTATTAGTTTATTAAAAAAAAACATCTCACAGCCAGTCCAAGCAAATATATATATACACACCCTGGCAGCGCACCAACCAGCCATGTGAAGGCTCAGACGAGTTGTGGCTAATGAGTCATGGCTTGTGACATCGCCTGGCGCAGCAACTCCTTTCCGAGCGTGTGGATGGCCCCTATGTGCACTATTATCAGATGCTCGGCTGCTAGGGCGATGCTGGGATGACTTGGCTCATGTGCTGACAGAGAGGGCTCTGTATGCCTGCTGTGGCACACGTGCCATGGGTTCACCACCACTGGCCTAACCCTACCCTGGAGCGCTCCCCTAACCCTAATATAGCGCTAATGTTCCATTGAAAAGGGGGCGGTTTTGAAAAAGCCTTCCTTGAGTAGCTGTTTCTGCAGAGATCAACATTTCTGCCCATTCTAAACACATTCCAACCATGAAAATCATGCCTGTACACCTCGTGATTATAACCCCAACCCTACCCTGGTGCACACCCCTAACCCTAATAGAGGGCGAAAGTTCCAGTGAAAAGGGGGCGACTTTGAAAAAGCCTTCCTTGTGTAATTTTTTTTTCTGCACAGCTCAACATTTCTGCCCCTTCTAAACACATTCCAACCCTAAAAATCATGCCAGGACACCTCATTTTTGTAACCTTAACCCTAGCCTGGTGCACACCCCTAACCCTAATAGAGGGCGAAAGTTCCATGGAAAAGTGGGCCATTTTTAAAAAGCCTTCCTTGAGTAGCTTTTTCTGTGCAGCTCATCATTTCTGCCCATTTTAAGCACACTCCAACCATCTAAATCATGCCTGTACACCTCATTTCTCCTACCCTAACAGTACCCTGGTGCATGCTCCTAACCCTAATAGAGGGTGAAAATTCCAGTGAAAAGGGAGCGATTTTGAAAAAGCCTTCCATGAGTAGCTTTCTCTGAACAGCTCATCATTTCTGCCCATTCTAAACACATTCCAACCATCAAAATAATGCCAGGATACCTTATGTAACCCCAACCCTGCCATGCTGCACTCTTCTAACCCTAATATAGGGATAAATTTCAATTGAAAATAATGCGATTTTGAAAAAGCCTTCCTAGAGTAGCTTTTGCTACACTGCTCATCATTTCTGCCCATTCTAAACACATTCCAACCATCATAATCTTGTCAGGACATCTCGTTTTTCCAACCCTAACCCAGTGAATGCGAACCGTTTAGATACCGTGTGCCCAAACTGCAACCCAAAACCCACGTATTAATTGCAAAGTTCCCGCACTGCAATAAAACCTGAATACTGAGATTTTAGTTTAGAACGAACAACTCACTGCCAGTCCATGTATCCATCTCTCTCTCTCTCTCTCTCTCTCTCTCTCTCTCTCTCTCTCTCTCTCTCTCTCTCTCTCTCTCTCTCTCTCTCTCTCTCTCTCTCTGGCATCTCACTAATCAGCCATGCAAAATCTCAGATGAGTCGCTGCTAAAGAGTTGCAGCTTGTGATGTCATCGCCTGGTGCTGCTACTCCTTTCCGAGCATGCACATGGCCCCTATCTGCGCTGTTATCTGTTGCTGAGCTGCTGGGGCGATGCTGGGGCGACTTGGCTCATGTGCTGGGGGCTCTCCCAGCACATGAGCCAAGTCGCCCCAGATATTAAATATCTCTTGAATTTAAAATGTATACGTGTAACAACCTCCTCCTAGAAAGAAGCAACAATAAGACATTACTAAAACAAACGTTTGAAAGATGCATTAGCTCTACTGTTCTGCTAGCAATTAGTTGAATTACAGAATCCCTTGTTAAAGAGACATTGTAGTGACCAACAGATGCAGAACAAAAGTTTTTGCTGAATGAGGCTCAGTCTAAGATTCACCAGCCCAGCAAACTACAGGATAAGCATTGTGGAGTCTGCTGCAGTTTCCCAAATTCCCAAATGTGCCCATGGGTCCAAGCAGCTGGCAATTCCTCTTTTAGACAGTCATACTAAACATGATGTCATGTCAGTTCTTTGCTAGATCTTCAGGGCAAAGCTGATAAAATCAAAGAAGTTACCCCGGGAAAGTATTGAAGCTCAGGGAATATATAGTTAATATAAAGCATCCAGTAATGGATAACCAGGGCAAATTAAAGAAACAGAACTGCAGAAATAAGATGTGTGTGTTCTTGAAAGCATTTGTGAATTAATAGGAATTTGCTATATGTCTGTAATTCTTGCTAGATTATCAGGCAGTCCCTTAAATACCTGGAATGCTCCGGAGTGAGGAAAGAGATGGGAAGGAGAATGCTGGATGTGGAGTGCTTTTACAGCTAAGCGTCAGCCTTGTTCACTGTGTGATAATTGAATGCATTTCTTGAATGGTGCAGAGGACATGTAGCTGTCTTCATCTAAAGAATTGTACCTCCCCACACTGTTTCCATCCTCTAGGCACATTCAATCCATATTCTGGGGACCCGCTGCCTGCTCTCCCTAAGAAACAACTTATACTCAAAATCATCAGTGGACAGCAGCTCCCGAAACCTCCAGATTCAATGTTAGGAGACAGAGGAGAGGTAAAAGATGTTTCGATGCGGTACAAATGGTTTTTCCATTGATAGTTGACAAAGCTATTGTAATGATGCCTAGATGACATATAAAAGTATGCATGAATTTCCAATTTCCTACATATGAATATGTGCATAGTCAACAATACATTAATAATATGCATGATGAACATCTGAATTTCATTCAGTCACAGCTGCTACCTTAGTTTAGAATAAACATTGCATTAATTTTGTACCAAAACCTAAATTGTAGAATGCACCATGCATTCCGTATTAATATGGACAGATTTTATAACAATTTTGTCTTGGGTGTTTGCAAGCCCCAGTAATTTCAGATGTTATGTTTTCCTCATATTCAGAATGCAAAAATAAATAATTTGATCTATGACCATTTCCTCTCTCTTGAGTTATTGCATCTAGTAAAACCATCTTGTTCTTAAAAATTGTTCTCTGTGTACAAAACACCTGATCTCATTACAACAATTTCTTTTCAGTCTTTCTGACAATTTAGATAGTACCTTGAGGGGATGAGAAAATCCTTTAATAAAATTTGCTTCTTTGACAGTATGATTCAATAAAGCAACTATTTAACCCTTTATTTTGGAATAAGCACGAGAAGAGTTTTTATATAGGGTTGATTTATGCAAAGTTTGAGTCCATTAAAATGGAACAAATTACCTAGACAAGAAGAACTTGGATCATAAGTAAATATAATTGAATATGTGGTATCCTGGATTTGGATGTTTTGGTTTGTTTTTGGTTTTTTAACCCTTTATTTAAATCTACCTTATATAACATCTTGTATGTTTTTCAGATTAAAGGGCAAAGAATTGCTTAATTGCTCCAAGTTGTGTGGATAGCAAATTTTATTAACAACTCTTTTTATCCCTTCAGGTGCTATGCAAAATAGTCCAACAATGCCATTCAGTTTATAGAGATGCATATAAAGAACCTCCTTGTATTACCTAACCTCAGGTATTGCTGACTTGCTTCAATATTGGCTGTTGTTATTTTCCGGAGTTCTGAAAACATCAGGAAGGGATTTTTCCCAGTTCATCCTGAGCTGCTTTAACCAGAGATTCTAGAGATATAAAGAAGATCGGAGAACCTGTTGTCCTTGTGGTGCTATCGAACTTTACTGTTGTTGGACATCTCTGTCTACTGATCATGCTGGCTGTAGCTGGTAGAAGTTAAAGTCCAACAACATCTGATGGTGCTACAGCTTCCTTATTCCTTATGTAGATTGTGTTGCCATGGGAGAGTGCAAGACTTGAACTAATCACTACATAATTTGGAGTCCATATTTACCTCCAAATTATGTAGCTCTCATGCAGATCTTCACTGAAAGACATTTAGTTAGCAGGACTGCAAGTGATGGGCCCACATTCTAGTCCCTGACCAAATTCATACCTCAAGTTTTATTTTTCATGACCTGCTTGTGATCCCACAGTAACACAATTGTAACCTAACATGATATTGTGGTAGGACTACAAATGGTTGCCTTATTTGCATATTTAGGGGCAGTGAAACAATTATTTAAAATATTGGATTTTTTCTGTTTCCAACAATGTCTCAAGCAGATAATTGATCCATTTGTGGAGGTGGAAATTATTGGTTTACCAGCAGACTGCTGCAAAGACCAGACCAGAGTGGTAGATGACAATGGTAAGAGATACAGCTGCTGGTTTCTTTTCTAGACTATGTTTGTGAGTGTTATTGAGCAACTATTCAAGTTGTAGTGAATAGTCAGAATGTGAGTCCAAAGTGTGCTGATGTATTTTTGGAATTTCAGTTTGCAGGGAAAATAAAGCAACATTCTTAGTTTTTTATTACCATGCCTACTTTCTCCCATTGTTTAAAATGTATAGAGTTGGTTTAACAATGGACAAGAAGAGCAATATTAGAAGGAGATTCCTAAGGGCTTATTTTCACTTTTTGACTTTTTGACTTTTCTGCCTTGCCAGAGCAATATAATGCTAGGACAGACATGCTCAGGGGCAGATTTCCCATTACATAAGAGCATCACAGTGTTCTCAGTGAAGCATTCATACAAAGAATCACAACACATGAGCAGAGCACTCTTTGGATACAACTGCGGTCTCTTGCTGGAGATTCCCACAATGCCACTGGCTGACTCAGTAATCATAGGTATTGCAGTAAATAAGCTTTGGAGAGTTCTGATCATACATTTCCAGAGAGTCAAGTTGCCCGTTATGAAGCCATTTTCTAACATGCAAACTTGACCTAAGTACAGTTGAAACTAGTGATACTAACAGTATGGTTGGTAATCCAGGAAAAGCTGAGTACAAATTGGAATACTTTTTCTGGATAGTGAATACTTGTGTTTTTTCTGAATACTTGTGTTCCTTGAAACTGCATGTTGTTTTTTGTTTATTTATTTATTTACACATATTTATAGGCCGCCTATAATTGCCAAGGCCTTCCTAGGTGACTTGCAATGTAAAACATACCAACAGAGTAAAAACACATTAAAAACCAATGAAAACATAATAAATTGGACATTTATAAAAACAATTAAAAAGGGCCGCAGCATACAGGCTAAACATGAATACATTTCCGAAAAAGATATGTCTTCGCCTGGTGCTGAAAGGAAAATAGAGATGATGCCAGGCGAATTTCCTTAGGGAGAGAGTTCCTGAGATGGGGAGCAGCAGCAGAAAAGGCCCTTTGCCTCATTGCCACACTTCTCATCTCCCTGAGGGGTGGTTCTTATAGAAGGGCCTTCTGAACTGATCTAACGGGGCGGGTAGGTATATATGGGTGTAGATGGTTCTTCAGATAGCAACAGTATGAATGAAAGCCTTCCAGAATGTCCCACCCAAGACAACTCTGTTGAACTCAAGTTTAAGGCTGTGGCTATCTTTATAGATTCAACACATCTCCTGTTTGGGTTCCCTTTTGTCTTTTGCCTTCAACTTTACCTAATACGATTACCATTTCCAGGGAGTCTTGCCTTCTCACGATGTCTTTGAGGTATGACAGCCTCAGTTTTGTCATTTTTGCTTCTATGGAAAACTGAGTTGATTCGATCTAGGACCCACTTGTTCATTTTTCTGACAGTCCAGGGTATTTGCAAAGCTTTCCTCCAGAACTATATTTCAAATGCATTCATTTTCTTCCTGTTAGCTTTCTTCACTGTCCATTTTTCACAGCCATTCATTTTGATTGGGAATGCAATGGTCTGAGTGATCTTGACCTTGGTCTCCAGTGAAATATCCTTCCTTGTTGCCCTTTCAAGTCTTCCCATTTCTTGACTGCAGTCCCCCTTTGAGCTGATGACTGAGCCAAGCTATGTGAAACCTTTCACAATTTCAATTTCTCCATTATTAACGGTGAAGTTCTGTAATTCCTCTGTGGACATGATTTTTGTTTTCTTAATACTTAGCTGCAATCTTTTGTGGTTTCTTCTTTCACTTTTATCAGGGCTCATTTTAAGTCATTGCTACTTTCTGCCAGCATTATAGCACCTGTTTGGTGATGTCGTGTTGTTTCTTTGCCAGTTTTCACTCATCCTTCTGATTCTAGTCAAGCTTTCCTTATGGTATGTTCTGCATGCAAATTGAACAGAGAGAGAAGGACACACCTTTGTCCGACACCTTTGCCTACGAGAAACCATTCTGTTCCTCTGTATTCTGCCCCAACTGTAGCATCTTGTCCATTATATAGATTGCACACCAGAACAATCAAGCGCCTAGTCATATCCATTTCTTTCAGTACCATCCATGGCTTCTTGTGATCCATACAGTCAAAGGCTTTGCTATAGTCTATAAAGCATAGACTGATCTTTTTCTAATTTTGTTGGTGCACTCCAGTAGCCAATGTATATTTGCCATATGATCTCTAGTGCCTCTTCCTTTTCAGAAGCCAGGTCAGATGTCCAGTATTTCTCATGCCATGTAGGGTAGCAGTCTTTGTTCCAGCACTTTGAGCATCGCTTTTCTTGTGTGGGTGATTAATACAATGGTTCTATGGCTGAAGCACTCTTTTGCTCTCCTTTCTTGGGGATTGGAATATATATTGAACACCTCCAGTCTGTGGGCCATTGTTTTGTTTTCCATTTTTGTTGACATTTTCTTGTTAGGACTTGGGCCGATTCATTTTCTGCAGCTTGGAATAGTTCTGTTGGTATCCTGCCTGTTCCAGGTGCTTTTGGAGCAGCTTTCAATTCACTTTTTAATATTGCAGCCTCTTCTTCATAGGATTCCACTTCAAAGAAATCTATGATCCTTTCATCTCTTCTGTATAGGCCTTCTGTGTATTCTTTCCGCCTTCTCTATATTTTCTCCTGGTCAGATAGTATGTTTTCTTGTTTGTCTTTTAAAAGCATTCCTAATCTAGGGTTAGGGAATTTCCCTTTGGTTCTTTTGGTCTTCTGAAAGAGTCTCTTGTTTGCCCCCCTTTTACTTCTTTGCACTTTGTAACAGTTCTTTTTGTCTCTACATGATAGTTGATAAAAAGTTGTGTTTAGCATTCTGACTCTTTCTGCCACCTTTTGCTTCTCATCTGTCCTTTGCAAATGTGAATGTTTCTTCTGTCATCCATCTAGGCTTTTTCTTTCTTGTTGCTACAGGAATTGTCTTTTGGCATTCTTCCTCAATGATATCTGGTTTCAGTCCACAGTTCTTCAGGCTCATGGTAAATTAAGTTCAGCAATGCAAATCTGTTATTTATGTGAACTTTAAATTCTTAGGAGATGTTGCTTAAGTTATATTTTGGCACTGTGTTTCTTTTGGTGAACTTTTTTGTCTTGACTCTGATTTTGAAATTAAGAGCTGATAGTCACTACTGGATTCTGCTTCTGGTCTTGCTTTGGCAGCAAGAATGCAGGTCCTGTACCTTCTGCTTCCAATTACACAATCTATTTGATTTCTGTATCGGCCATCTGGTCCATGTATACAATTTTCTAAGTGGTTGGTTGAAGCATGTGTTTGCAATTAATAGGTTGTTGGCATCACAAAATTCTATGTGTGGTTCTCCTGCTTCATTTCTTACTCTGGGTCAAAATTTCCCACCACATTTGATTTTGCATTGTTCCCTACTTTTGTCTTGCAGTCACATAGGATTGAGCAACATGCCTTGTTTTTGTGTGTTATCACTTTCCTCTTAAACACCTACATAAAAGTTTTCAAATTCTTCTTCAGCAACTGCTGTTGGAGCCTGGACTTGAATTATGGTTATGTTGATGGGTTTTCAACTATTCTGACTGATATTATTTGGTTGAATTTTGCATTATTGCCTGTGCTACATCTTGCCTCAGTATTAGAGCTACTCCTTTTCTTCTGAGTTTGTCATTTCTGGGATTAATCATTTTGTATTTCTCTAATTGGAAATGCCCATTTCCATTTCAGTCCACTTTAGTTTGCTCACACAAAGTATTGTGAAGTTCACACCAAGTCCTGTAATTACAAAGCTGTATATTTGTAGCCAAATGTGCTCACAAGAGTTGTTTCATATGGTCTGGAAGCTGCTGCACTTCTATACTTTTCCAAGAACTTTGGTGGAGCTACTTCTTCATTGAGATACTTCTCAATATGTGTATGAAACTTTGGATCTCCAGATACACCAGCTGTGATTGAGCTTGGGCAGCTGGACATCTTGCATCCATCCTGTTTGAGAGATCTTGTGGACCAGATCCTGTTTCCACCATTTGTATGGAGAGCTGGACTAGATGGACTTTAGGTGTTATCTAGCATGGCCTTCCTTATGTATAGTTGACAATTTGTCATCCTGATTGAGTAGCATTGCATTCTGCTATCAAATACCATTAAATAATGGAGTGCATTCTTTGATAAATATTCAACATTTTCCAAGGAACATCCCAAGCACTGTGCTACTGCTAACAATTTCCTTAGCGTATTTGTGACAGTTAGCTGGTGTGTTGTGGTGGTTAGAGTGTTGGACTGATGGACTTGAGAGAGCTGAATTCATTCACTGGGTCACTTTGGGCCAGTCTCTCACTCACAGCCTCACCTGCCTCACAGGATGTGAAGATAAAATGCAGTGGAAGAGGGCTGTATAAGCAATGTTGTGTTATTTGCAAGAAGAAGACAGACAGTTAGAAATACAATGTAATAGTAGCCATGGCAGTAATAGAAGCTGTCTAGCTTCTGATTAAATACTTCCAGTGAAGGAAAACTGGCTACCTCCTGAGGCAGTCTGTTCAAGCAGCTCTTACTACAAGGCAGTTCTCCTAATTAGCTGAAATATGCTTCCTTGCTGTTTTCACCCATTCATCCTAGTCAAGTCTGCTCCATGGCAGCCCTTCAGATATTTGAATGCAGCAATAAGTAATGTAAACAGAATCCAATGTTCATTTAAACAGATAGGATCGGTATGATTGACTTGAGACACAGTCATTACAAGGAATTGCAGGGACAGGTTCTATTATAAGATCAGATAATGTGCAGGAGGTTTTCTTTCCCTAAGGAAAGTTATGGAAAAGGACATTGCATTGCCAAGCAATCACTGAAATGTGTACCACAAAAGTTAGAAAGAGAAGACACTCAGCATTTTGGGTTGATAGCATGATGCTCAGCTGCATGACCAACAATTCAGAAAGGCAAACAAAAATGTCGTCCTATTTGTCAAATAGCTATTGATTTTTCTCCCCCACCAATGTCAGGTTAAGAAATAATCGCTTGTCCTCCTGCTCTATCAGGCTTTGCAGGCCTTTTCTGGTGGTTGACATTGTTTTCACTCCTGTGATTTATTTTATGCTTTCTGGGCAAAATGTGTTAAGAGTGGCAGGCTCAAGAGGCCTCCCCCATTCATGCCTTTTCTTTGATGTTGCTTTTCTTTTCTTCTTACCCAACATCAGAGTGGGCGCTCTTTTGGAGTAGGCCATAGTATCTGTGTTGGAGTTAACACATGGCATAATTCCCACAGAGGTTTCATGTACAGACCTCCTTTGTCACACTGTGATTCCCTTGCAGTTGTCCTGAGCAATCCCCAACTTGTGCTGCCTGTGAAAGATAGAGCTGATGACACTCTGCACTCTGCCATTTTGTGCTAGACAGGGTATTTTGAGTGACAGGCCACCTGAGTTGGAGCATTGGTGCTAGCCAGTGACTGGGCATCCATGTCTCCTCTTGCTGCCATCAGGGATACCGTGTCGCAGACTATTATGTAACAATATAATAAAGTACTTTGTAGATGGAAGCTTGGTTTTTCATTGCGTGCAGCCATTGCTTCACTAGTCTCAGTCATGCTGTTGATGAAGCACAAAACAACAATGGAACAAGCCAGTAGCTGTAGCTACAAGGCTAACTTGCTCCAGCAAAGGCTGAAGGTGAATGGAGGCATTATGAGCATCTGCCTCTACCCTGCCCTTCCTAAGCTGTGCCCACTGGCTTGAAGAGTAAATGCTTAAAGGGGCTGGTCTCTGGCTTGGAATCTAGAGTTCCTCGTCAGCTCATGTAAGCCAATTTGGGCACATGGTTTGATTTTCAGATTAACGTCAGAGCTGATTCCTTGGGAAGATGCATGAACATTGGCTCCAGAGGCTCCAACTCATGGGTCTCAGGAATCTTATCTGCTGCCTGAGGCCAGGCCATGGCACTAGGACCTGGACTATCCTTCAGTACTGTGGGACCAGCCGTAATAAGTCAGACTCAGAATCCGGGCGGGCGTCCTGACCTTTGTTTTTCTGTGGCTATAGTTGAGGGCCATGCTTAGGAACTTCTTTGGTGAATTGTTTCATTTTGGAAAAGAAAATTAACATGTGTTTTTTCATATACAATATTTTACGAAAATTACTAATTTACAGTAATGCACAGGGTTACAGGGCTCCCAGCAAATTATTCCCAGGTTCTTTTATGAACACTTACTTTTAAAAGAAAGTGAAAATGTTTCAATAAAAAACCAGCCAGTTTCTGTATTTGCATGAGATGCTGGTTCTGTAGCCTCTCGTTTATCCTAGCTGTCACAGAGTAAGATACTTCCTGGGGTCCCTTGGGAGGTTTGTTAACTGAACTTCTAATTCATTCTTATAGATGCTATCACGACAACAGCTTCTGCTGACAGCTTGCTTTTCTTCCTCCTCTTTGACTTTTTGTATTGTCTACTCTTCATAGGGTTTAATCCTGTTTGGGAAGAAACACTCACTTTCACCATCCACATGCCTGAAATAGCGTTGGTTCGGTTTCTTGTTTGGGATCATGATCCTATTGGCCGCGACTTTGTTGGACAAAGAACCGTGGCCTTCAGCAGCCTTATGCCTGGTGAGTGTGTGTGCTTAGCTTTTCTTCTGTTCGGTGGGAAACCCAACAGCAGTGCTGATACTGAGGGGTAAAAGAGAAAATGTTTCTGTGCATGCTGCTGTTGTGAGTTTGTGTAGTGGCAGGGCGCTAAGCTCTGCGTTTTCATTTCTTTTAAGAACTTGAGAAGTGAGCTTGGTAGTGCAGAGGGCATATGAGGATAAACAACGGGAAGCAATAATCATCATTAGGGTTGGAAACTGTGCACACAAGTCAGAAGATAAGATGCTTGGCAGACTCCTCTGGTCATTTAGACTTGAAGTTCCGATGCTATTGCTACCCTGTACCTTCAGGCTGTAAAAGTTCTTCAATTGCCTCCAGTCCTCAGCTGAAAATATGCATGAATTTAATTAATATGCATTATTTAATTAATAATAAATAAGGAATTTCATTGCCTGCTGAAAAGGGTTTGTAAAGTCAACATGTAAGCTTTCCCAGCCTTTCTCACTGCCAATTTCATAGGACACTTCAGAGAGCCACCTAAACCTGTGGTAATAAGGAGGACGCAAAGCAAGACTAAGGCTCAGACATCTTCCACTCTCCCCACTTTATTTCATACCAAAGGATGAGGGTGACACCTTTCACTTTCTCTTCAGACCCAAATACAGCTCCTTGTTACATCTGTATTGGGTGACCCCGTGTTCATTGCAGTAAAGTTTAATTTAAACAAACCAGGATCACACCATCGTTTTGGAACCTAATCTAAGTGTCTGTGATTAGAATCAACCTTGTTCTCTCTGTGTGTATTACACAACTGTGGTTTCTTCTAAGGAAATAGCAGGAGCTTTCACTTCTCATGACTGAGGGAGATGAAAGACAGAGCCCAAAGCTTATTGTGCCTTATTCCTGATTACGTACACCATGATTTCTGTTGCTTATTATTGTTGTTACATGCCATCAAGTCATCTCTGACAAATGATGACCCTATAAATGAATAGGGCCTCCAAAATGTCCTGTCTTTGACAGCTCTGCTCAGCTCCTACAAATTAAAGGCTCTTGCTTCCTTCTCATAGTTGGTCTTCCTTTAATTCTGCCTTTGAATTTCTCTAGTATTATTGTCTCCACCAATGCATGTAGCCTTCTCAGGATGTACCTGAAGTACAACAGCTTCCATTTCATCATTTTTGTTTCAAGGAAAGTTCTAGCTTGATTTGATCTGGGACCACTTGCTCTTCCTTCTGTCGGTCCAGGGTATTCACAGGGTATTATTGATATCTCTTCTATAGCTTGTTGTGAGCTGCATTTTGATTATGTAAAGTCCTAATTGCTGATTTTCGTTTTCACTAGGCTACCGTCATGTTTATTTGGAGGGACTAACTGAAGCCTCTATATTTGTTCATATAACAATTAATGAAATTTATGGAAAGGTAAGATGAAAGCTGTCATCCACCGGCTGTCCACAGTGTATGTCTGTAGTTATTGGCTTTATTCTGTATTTTGATCAAAGCCATTTCTAATGTACAAAGGGCATATTTTTGAACTGTTATAAATAATTTGCTTGCTAAACTGGGAAACAACATATGCTACAGCAATTCACCCCAGGGTAATCATCCACATAATGATGCAGCATATTGGAGGAATGCAGCATAAAAGTTTCAACAGAACAAGCAAAGATGCTTTACATTTCATTACAAAGCAACATTCTTTATGTTGAATGAATACCATGCACTCTCAAACAGCTGGGGAAGTGATGTGGTTTAAGTCAAGACCTTTTATTCTATCTCAGCAGTGGGAGAACCAGCAGTTTTTCAATTTACCTAAATTTTCTAAAAAATTACTTTGAACTTCATTTCAGTTTGCTCCCATTTTCATTTATGAACTGTTATATCCTCTTGTTCAGATGGGGGAAAGTATGTGTTCTGTGCATATTTTTCAAAACTATATACATCTTCCCCCCCTCCCGTAGATACACATTTCAAAGTGTGTATTTTAAAAAATATCTTTTTGAAAATGATCAGAAATTACAGAGTTTTGCAACCATTTAAACAAACAAACAAACCCCACTCTCCTCCTCATGTTTGGTTTTATTAATAGCACCCATTTGTCCAATTTGCAAACAGAAAAAAATCTTGTACATAGCTGCTACCTGTGGCTCCATTGGAAGACCACTGGTGTCTAGCCACTGCCGCTCTCCATGGACAGGGTACTGCAGTCTGGGCAATTTAAATTTTTCACACAGTGAGCAGGGTCACACATCACACTGAACCACCCTGAGAAATAAGCCGCCATGTTTGATCGCTAAATGAACAGCCCACAGTACTCCTGATAAATGTCCAGGCTATACATGTCCACTTGCTTTATTCTTCCCCTCACTTTCCTTGGTTGCTCCAGCATGTGTTCCTGGTGCTTTTTTGGCAGAGCTCCTTGTTGCTTAGTCCCTGCATCACCCCTCTTTCTTCAATTTGTCTCCAGGAGTTGCTGGATCCCTGGGGAAACTCTCTCACCATCACATCAATTTGCTAAATGAAACGGACATAATGAACCCTTGTGAAGGTGGCAAGATGTTCTCCAGCTGTTGTTTTTTAGGGCTTTCCTTTTGGCACAAGTCCACCTGCATGATATTTAGTAAAGCATCCTTATTTCCCCTCCTCCACTTGAGTTGCTTACACTGCTAGCAAACAAATGCCTTTTTAAACTGCTCTACTTTAAAGTACACTTACCATTTCCAAAGTGCATCCAGCTCTCTGTTATTTAGTTAAGTTGTGTCTGGGAGGCTATCAAAATTATCCTGCCTAGGTCAGAAAACACAGCAAGCCATCATGTGTATGAAGAACCCTAAAACAAGGCATGGTTTCTTAGAGTGACTTGCTCATGAAAACTAAGCCGCCCTGCAGAAACTGCCTGAGTTCTCAAGACACAGGAATCCACCATGGTTGATTAGTCATGGTGGGCTGTTGTGTCATGCAGAGCAGGCCACTGAGCAAAAGCAATTCACCTGAGCTGCTGAACACACCCAGCCTCTCATGTAAACTGCATATTTTACTAGCACCCAGCACAGTGCCCAAGCTGACAATGGCTCTCTGCTGTGCTCACATGATAGGCAAAGCAACCCAGCTTAAATTAGGTCTTGCACAGGTAAGTTCTTGCTTGGCATCCTCACATTTGAAATATCATAGTGTGGACTGCAGAGGAGGCTGTTACACCTCCTGTATTGGTGAAAGCACGTTGCAAGTCACTTCTGCCCTGATCATTACAGTTGGTGAAGACTTGCAGCATTGGAGGAAGTGGGTTGCTGAATGCTTCTATATGAGACATTGAGAAGGCTCCCTAGAATGAATGCAGTGTAGCATGAACAGAAAAAGGTGGTAGTGACTGAATGCCGAGGTAGCCTGATGGGGGACAGAGCCTCCATTTCACTCTGTGTTCTGTGCGCAGAGCAACTGGGACTGAGCCTATGGTAATCAGAGTATCATAGAATGGTAGAGTTGGAAGAGGCCAAGAAGGCCATCAGGTCTAACCCCCTGCTCAGTGTAGGACTCAGGTTAAAGTATCCCTCTCAATGGCTGTCCAGCTGCATCCTGAATGCCTCCGATGTGTGAGACTTCCCTACATATTTGGTTCCATTGTCATACTTCTCTAACAGTCAGAAGTTCTTCCTGGTGATCAGCCAACCACAGCTGCTTGATCACTTACGGGTATGCAACTGGATTACTCCCTTACAACAGATGACAGCCACAACTTTATGGTGTCAGATCATGGTGTCAGATCTCCAGTGCCTAATATATTTGCAAGCATTAACCCAGGTTTTTACATGTGATTCTGAGTTTCAGAACAGGAATCTGTAGTCTGGCAGATGCCATGCTTATAAAAATGACATGCAGCTAAATGATACTGATGACTTATCAATGGTAACATACAAAGCAGCATGCTTGCCTAATTCTGAACATGTTGCACTTCCCCAAATGCTAGCTGGACATCTTTCTACTGAACCTCACTTGCCTCACTCTGTCTTGTCCAACTGTCCTTTACTCCATTTTTATTTATTTATTTATTTATCGACTTATATCCTGTCCTGCCTTTTTCCTACAAAGGGCTCAAGGCAGCTTACATCATTCTCCCCCTCCATCTCATCCCCACAACAACAACCCTGTGAGGTAGGTTGGGCTGAGAGTCTGTGATGGCCCAAAGTCACCCCGTTGGCTCCATGGCTGAGCGGGGACTCAAACCCAGATCGTCTGAGTCCCAGTCCCATGCTCTGAACCATTACACCACACTGGCTCTCAAGTTTTCAAGTAGAGCGCTAAGTGGGTAAGTGCTAGAGTGCTAGCCAGGGTAATATCTGCAAGGTGCACGTTACCCGAGGAGTGAGCCTAGACAGGTGCTTGCAGTTTCTGATGGAACAGAATTGTAAGGTATTGCTTAATTATAAAAAATATATGGCAACATGCTTAACTGGGATTTGTTCGCTGGGTTTGTTTTTCTCAAGATAATTGTTTTCTTTTGAGCTCAGTTTGGATTCATTTTACTGCAAAGCAGCTGCAATTCACTTCTGTTCTTTTACAAGATGGGAAATTTAAAACTTGCCTCAAATTTTTAAATGGCAGCAAAGTCATTTCGATGAAAGTGCCTTTTCTTAATTTCTGTAGGAGCCATAACTCAGTGGTAGAGCCCATGCTTTGCATGCTTATGGTCTCAGAATCAATTGCCGGCCGGAAAGATCCCTGTCTGAATCACTGGGAAACCATTTGTAGACAATATTAAACAAGTCAGTGTGGTGTTTGGCTGCTTCCTACTTGTGATTTAATAAATAATATAGGATTAAACTCAACATGTAGCTAGATAGCCAATATGGGAAATATAATTGAATGCATTAAAATGAATCTAAATAATTTCAAGGGCTAAAACTGGTTGTAATCAATATGGAGAAGATCAGGTATTGGATGGGTAAGAAATGTATTAATGAATTAGATACAAGGGGGATTTCTATCAATAATGCTGGGATTTTTGTGGCTTTTTCAGACTATTTTGAAAAAGAGCTGTTTTTGCTGTTCACTAACCACAGTTTGTCATTTTGTCCAAACCTGGACAAATTTCAGTCAGTCTTAACTGCAGTTTTCTGAAACAAGCCAACTTCTAATCTTGGCTGAGAAACATGACTTGCTTCGATAAGTCATAGTTACAGTTAGCCACAGTTTACAGTTTGGACATAACTCTGAACTCCAGTCAATTGAAAACACAAACATTAGTTCCTCTTGGGGGCATGCTGGAAAATAAGTGTTTGCAAACACAAGATCTATCTAGATTCATCTTGCAGTGATGAAATAGTTTTTCATCATATCCAGGCATAAGCCAATGAGGCCAAACTAATTTCTCTTCTACCCTGCTTTGGCATTAAACACATTTTGCCCTTTTTCTAGCCTCAGTAATCAAAAAGGCAAGATGCACAGAAATTCTTCGGTATAATGTTGCACATGTTTTCCTGATTTTAAGTCTACTGGATCAATTGCAGTTTTGATTTTAAAAGATGTTGGGAATTTCTTTATGCTGTTCAGGACTGCAGTCTGTGAGGTAGCTCCTCTCCAGTCTGAATAAGCCAAGTTTTGCACAATGGAACTTCTAAGCCCAATTTGCTGCTGGGTAGACATTGTTGTCAAAGAACATCGTGTTTGGTTGGAGTGAAGTGAATCCTGCTGCTAATAGACATAACCTTTTCTCCACTTGATCTGTATCCTATATGTGGATGCTAGAGTTTTGTATTTCTCACTGTGGATTGTTACATGCCCTGGATGGTTGAGTAACTTTCTTCATCTTGGTTCCTTCTTGCTTGATGAAGATTTCTGATTTGTTGCTGCATGGACATAAACCTTTTACTGTTTAGTTAGGTTTTTCTTAAAATGAGTTGGGTAAATGCATATTTAGAAGATATAGGCCTCTCCCCATCTCTGAATTAGAAGAAATAAACAAAATATACAGATGACGGAAACTTAATGACCACTTGCTACAAACACCTTATATAATTTTATGCTCTTTCTATAAGGCCATCTTCTCTCTCTTGCAGCAGAAAAAGAACATGTAAATTAGGAAATTAGGACTTTCCTAACCATTGAACAATTGAAAAATGTGAAAAGGTACTTAGAGAGATACTCTAAAAAGGTTTTTTTTTTTTTTTTGGCAGTTTTTAAAGGAATATTTGCCCTGGATGTTCTTTAGAGCACTTTGGGTGCTGAGCTTGATTAGATAGTCAAATTGCGCATTCCAACCACTTCAGGCATTTGAGACAATCCAATGCATGGGATTAGAAGGGGAAAATAAACCTCATTGTCTGGGTCATGCTGAGATTTTAGGACCTTTCTCTGTCTAAAAAGGCATAGGATTGCACCCTTAAGGATTTTAGCATGTTGAACAGTTGGCCCAATTCTGGGGATGGAGCCACATGGAGAAGCTGATACCTGGTTTGGTGCAAGGCCTCAGTTAAGGCCTCTACTTTTTGACAGTGATTTACTGTACACTGTCTGTCTTTGCGGGCATGTGACATCCCATTTCAACAGCTGTAGTGGAGTGAATTTTCTCTAGGAAAGAATGGGGATGAGTCAGGTCTGATGTTACTGTTTGCCTCAGGATTCTTGGGCACCTCTATACAACAGAAGCAACAAAAGGGCATGAGCCGTGATTTGAAGATTTGTCTGTAATGAACACTTGATGTTTTGCATTGTTCACGTATGACTAGCTGTAGAAATCAGTCCAACTTGCTTGCCTTTCTTTGCCTTTCAGTGGAGTCCCTTAATTCTCAACCCCAGTTATACTATCATGCACTTTCTAGGAGCCACAAAGGTAGCCATTATTTAGCATGCAATTCTCCACTTGATGGGTACCTCTTTTCTTGTATGGAGCTGCTCTGAACTGCATGATCTGTAGCTGCTGTGTTACTTCATTGCCCATCAAGAGTTTGAAACAGTGCACTGCTGCTTTGGAGTGGCCCATGTCATAAAACTCTCTGCCTCTGGGCAGGGCAGCCTCTCACCCCAGGACATTTCTTGCAAACGTGTTGTGTGTAACTGGAAAGCCACTTGTACAGCTTCTTTGTCACCATGGCAGGCCACCTTCCTGATGGAGGGAAAGTCTTGCATATGTGCATGAACTCATGGTGAGCTGTGCCTCTTCTTTCCTTGATGTGGACTTGTTTGCTTTGATAGCTTTTGTTTGGTTTTGCTTGGGGGTTCTTTTCATTCATTACCTAGATGACCTGTACAAATACAGCAGTTTAACAACATGTTTCTGTAAAATGGGCTACAATTTCCAAAACCTGTAGTATTTTTTTCTCCTTTTTCTAATTTTAGAACAAGCAACTGATAGGACTCCGGGGACTTTTTAACAAGAACCCCAAACATCATACTGCAGAAAACAGTGGTCATTATGTTCGGAAAAGGTCAATTGGAGAACGAATTCTCCGGCGCACAGCCAGTGCTCCTGCAAAAGGCAGGAAGAAGAGCAAAATGGGCTTCCAGGAAGCCACTGAGCTTAAGGAGAGTACATCAGAGGCTGCAGACTTGAAAGACAAGGAAGGAGTTCTCAGACGTACAAGCAGGAGTTTGCAGGCACGTCCTGTTTCCATGCCAGTCGACAAATATCTCCTGGTAGGCTTGCCAACACCAGATCAGGATACTACCACAGTTGCTGATGCTACCAAAAATGAAAATACCTCTGGTAAGTTCCTTCACTGAAGTTCCTTCACTGAACCCAGTTGGACGCATTGCCATGTGTGGCACTGGGATCTACCGCAAAATCAGTCAGGTGGTGTGCCTGCTTGGAGCTGTCTGGTCATCCAGATACTGCTCTGTCCACTAAGAGGCAGGATTCTGAAAAGTGTGGGTGTGTGTTACATTTCTGTACTGCCACTAGTCTCTCTGGGTGGTTCTCCCAATCACTCTGCAGTGACACAAATCACGATATTGCAGCAGCATTGCAGAGGGACTTGGGCGTGCAGATGTTTGGGACTGGGAGGCCAGACCATCAGAATTCAGACCAATGCATCATGGGGAGTGTAGGCAGTGCAACTGAATAAACAGATAGTTGATTGCATGTTTAGTGTTTCTTACCCATTTGGCTGGGTATGAATTCAATTAGCAAGGCATGCCTAGAAGGTGCTTGCCTCATTCTGACTCATATTCTGTCTCATCCACACCCTCTCTCACTTATGCACACACTTTCTCTTTCACTCACACACATGCACCTTACTGCTTGATGTGGGTGAGAAGGGTGACTTCCAGAAGAGCTCAGCAATGGCTGTTCTATTAAAGGTAGGGAATGCTTGGATTTACACAGCAGCCTCTACAAAAGCTTCTCTGTGTCCTCCTCATCTGGACCTGCATATAAATACAGTGATCAAGCAACGGCACTCAGTTGATCTTTAAAGAACACTGATTTTCTGGTATGTTTGAGTGTTTCCAGAAAGACAGCAGTGGGAGTCCTTGTCCATTTCTATATTGCTTGATCATGACTGAATGAAGCTTCCAAGTCCCTTCACTTGTATACATCCCAGACAGCCTTCCCCAACCTGGTGCCTTCCAAATATAGATTGCAGCACCCATCATCCCCAGCCACCATGGCCAAGGGACTACGCTGTTTTACTTTCTCTGATCACCTGGGTTCTCCATAAATTGTCAACTTATGCTTTGTCTAATTTTTACCCTGCAATAGAGTCTGGGAGTTAGGATTGCTTTGAGAATGGAGGCTTTGCCACTTGTGATCTTTGCCATTATCCTATTTGTTCTCAGACTCTCCAGTTGTCCTTCTTTTATAGCTTACCAAACAGGCAGATGGCTCTTTTTTAGTTGCCATATATAGGGTGCTAAACAAGACCTCTGCATATACCTATGCAGGAGGTAATTGCCCTGCCTTTGAAGTTTGCACTTCTGAGATTCTGCTGATTACAGTTGCAATCATCTGAAGTTATCTTTTTAGGTTTTAGAAATGTACAAATGCAGATAGAGAAACAAAGTGTACTCAGCAGAATGCAAAAAAAATCCCATTTTTGCTTGCTTGCTTATTTGTTTGTTTTTAATAGAAGTGTGATATTAGAAAGCTAGGTGCCTTTCTGGGGCCAGGATGCAGGGAGTCCAGGTATTAGATGCATAATTCAAGAGTTCTGATAAGCATGCCTCTTGTTTGTCTATGGTATTTTAACAGAGCTGTTTTGTTCTGTCTTTGTTTGCCATGCTTCTTTATATTAGAAATCTGAATAGGAACACAGCTGAAGGTAATTCCACATGTCCAGACTATGGAACCTCATTGACATTCTTTACAACAAATATTACATCATATCAACAATGATGTAATAGCACATTAAAGAAAAGTTTCAATGAAGTGCCTCCAATTATATATTTTCTCATTTCTTCATATCACATGGATAATTTATACTAAACTCGCACAACCCCATAATTAAGTCCTCTCACAATGTTGACCCAACTTTACATTCTTCATTGTCTGTTTGTAGACAAAACAGTGATAAGCAAATGAGAGGGCATTCCTAATCAGTTATTATATTTTATATTTTGATATAGAAGAAAGTAAACAGGATTTAAGTGAAGACGGAGGGAATTTGGAAGAACTAGTCTCCTCAACTGAGAAAGATCCATCTTTTACAAAGTTTGCATCTCCATTTAAAAGTGATATTCCAAAGACAAGCAGTTACACAACTTTACTGGCATATGAAAAACCAGAAGGCCTAGACTTTGCAGTTGGTATTGCTGAAACTTATTTCTCTACAGAGTATTGGAAAAGTAATCTTTCTAGTGAGTCTGTTCATCTAAAGGAGGAATCTGTAAAGGAAGAGAAGGAAGTCATATGTTTTATGGATCGGAAAACTTCAGAGGACACTATACTGTGCAAGGAGAAAAAAATGGTTGTAGGGATTTCTCTTCCTCAAGGAGATCAAGAAACTAGTATCAAATCTCACATGGCTGTAAATAGCACTTTAACTAATTTATCACTAGCTGACAGATCCTCTCCAACCGGTTATGATGTCAATGATTTTCATTCTGCACCAGCCATACAAGATAGTGACATTTCTCACCTTATTAATGAGGTTTCTTTATCCAATGCCAGTGATATTGGTAGTTCTGTCTCAGCATTGATAGACCAGGTTGATGTCACAAATGATCTAACTAATTTGACTGTTTTCCCAAGTCCTTCTGGAATTAGCAAACAGATCAATAATATGAAGTCCACACATCCACCACATATGATGTCCTGTGAACAGAATAAAACTTTTGACCACCAGTTGCGTAGCATAGCACCAGTTGGACAAGCATCATATTCAACACCAGAAAATGCTATGATATCAACTCAGACAACAGAGTGTTCTCAGCCCAGTATTATCCACGAGGCTCCTCTTTCGTCAGCCTCTTACCATGAATCAATGGGCAGACTTGCTTACAAGGACACAAGCCATGGTGCAGAAGACATGTGTATTGTACCGTCTGCTATTTCACCTGCCACTGTGTTGAAAGGAGACCCCAAAAGGAAGTGTGGAACACACTGGGAATCTTTCAGCATTAGTAACTCCCACATTTCTGACAGCACAGATTTGGAAAAAACAATACTTGTTCCTCTTACTTGTGCAGATTCTACAGGCAGCAACCTAGTGGAAGTAGATGCAGATCTGCAAGACCTTTTGATCACTGCCTATGAATACAAAAGAGAAGACATGAGTCAGCTTGCTTCTCCTTTGAAGCTGAAGCATAATCAGGACCCTCTGTATTATAACAAAACAGTCTGTGAACATCTAAACAGTGTGGACATCCATAGTGCCAACCTAGTCAAAGATTTTAAGTTGAGGAGTGAAAAAAATCAGTATCTTCCTTACACAGACCGTCACAGTGTCGATCTTTTGTATAGTAATTACCTACAAATTTCAGGCACACAAAGTGAATACATAAACAAAGCTCAAACAGTCAACATGGACTCCCCTTCTTTGCCCAAGAATGCTTTGCCTTCTTCTTCCACAGTTCAGAAACAACCAAGCCCTTGTAAGTCCAAAAGTCTTGGAGACTTAACTTCGGAAGATATCTCTTGCAATTTTGAAAGCAAGTACAAGTATATTAGTAGAGGTTTTATCACATCTGGTATGAGAGACAAAATGGTGGCTACTCTGAAGGCTAAGAAACCGCAGGCTACAGATACTCTGACAGAACAGCTGCGCAAGCTTGTGTCATTTGATCAGGAAGACGGCAGCCAGTCATTTGGTTCCAAGCAGAATGAAGATTGCCCTAAAATGTTGGTCAGAAAACTGTCATCAAGGAGTCAAAGCAGAGTGCGGAACATTGCTAGCCGTGCCAAAGAGCGACAAGAAGCCAACAAACAAAAACTCTCTAATGCTAGCAGCAATGAAAGTGGAGTTGTCTTTAGAAACAAGACACCTGTACCTCCTCGCATCATCAACAGACATTCCACCGGCTCTTACATAGCAAGCTATTTGGATGACTTCAGTACAGAGGATCTAGAAGGCCGAGGTGTCCCGGAAGGCTCTTGTACCTCTTTGCGCTTTGGATATGGTGACCGGTTTTATACTGATGACTCTCTCTTGGAAACCAAGCCAAGTGAAGATGATAAGCCCGAAATTTATTTTCTCCTGAGACTATAAATTGTATAAATGTACATCATCATTTGTTTACAAGCTTTCTCACAGAATGAAGGATTATTGGTTAGTAATGCACCCATTAGCATTTAAATTACTCTGAAATGTATCTTTTGCTACTGTTTTTGTCTTGTCATGAATAATGTGTCCATTTTGATCAAAGTTTGTGCAAAAAGATTGCTTAAAATTTTGTTTCTGTATCTTTTTTCTTTCTTTTTTAGAGACTATATTCGTTTATGGTTGTTTGCATGAAATAAATGCAATAGGTTCTGATGTCCTCTATTTGTAAATGCATGTTCAACGGAACTTGGTCCAAGTGTGAGTCGCCACCAAAAGCTGCACTCCATGCCTTATCTTCCCTTTTATCCTAAATCATTTTTACTTCTTCTAGGGAATTTTAGAGTTTATTATCTTATGGGTGTCCACTTAAACATAGCCACAGGAGTTTTCAGTTGATGCCTTTGACATTTAAAACATTTAGAGGAGAAAGTAAGGTATCCTAGAATGAAATTTTTGCACCTTTATTTATTACATGAGCATGATAATAATAAACACATCAGAGTAATTAGCTCTTGTACAGTAATAAAACTGGAATATCTTTTTAAGTCCCTTTCTACAATGACCTGAAAAGAGTTTGAAGGTGCAAGTTTTCAACTCCTTATCTTAAAATTATGACTTTGAATTTTCATGTACAAAGTCAAAGTTGGTTTAAAAAGAAAACTAAAACAGCAATCTGTAGCAAAGACCTAAAGCCTTATACTTAACTCATGGACATAGGAAACTCACATGTCAGTAGGACTGGAGGGTGGGAGGAGAAATTACCTCAGCCACAGAACCTTCTGTATGCACCTAGTGTATTGGATGCTCATCTAGGGATATAACGTTCCCCTGACACTGAAAAGAACAGAACATCCATTATTTATGAAAAGTGAAGATGTAGCTATGGGCTTCCATTGGTGCTTTGAATTGTCTTTTATGTCAGTTATTTTGCTGTATTTCTTAAGTCCAGATGTACTCTCAAATGGTGGATATGCAGTACTATAGAGGGAGTTTACATGAGCAAACACTGTTGAGGATTTGTTTCATATTACTTGTATCCCAGTACAGGTTTTGTGGTTGCTTTGAAGTTGGTCTGGTTCATAAACATTTTACAATACTTCAAAGGGATCCTCATAGGAGTACATGTCCTTCAAAGTGGTTTGTAAGTTAATGCTTCCACCATTAATTTCCTGGCTTTGTGAACTAAGCAGAATATCAATCCATGAAACTAAAGAGTGTCCAATGCAGGCCACACCAATTCCCCAGTGCCCTGCTGATTGCCTTCCACAAACAGTGGGCCCTCCCAAGCTGGATGCACAAGTGGGACACAATGAAGGTGTGTACTTTTCTAGAGGAAGCTCTGAAATTAACAGAAGCACTTGTTTCCACATTGGGACCAATCAGCAGAACTTACTTAGACAAGCTTTGTTGGCCTGCCCCATTCTGAGTATTTCTGGCTTGCTCCCAGAACTGGTAAATCTCGATTAAACAAGCAGTAGGGTTTCTGCTTGCAGAAGAGAATTGGTGGGGTGCAAAACAATTGGCAGGGGCATAAGCACTCTGTGGGGTCCTATCCAGAGAGTTTAATCCTGTCTTCCCATAGATAATGAATTAAAGACTAGCAACTTTCTAAGAGTATGTCCATGTTTTTTAAAAAAGGGTGCACACATTTTGTTTCAATATAAACAGTACTGCAGCAGCATCTAGTGACAGAAATCCAACTCTGAAACCTCAAGGTGAGGAAGAGGGGAGAACACAGCCAACCATTTCTTCCTATCTACAGAAACAGCTTATTTTCTAAAACAGACAGGTGTCTTCATACAATGCAGCTGGCAGAGGCCCACTGATTTAGTAAAATGGTGTGCCACAAGCTGCTTCTCTTGTCTTCCCATTTGTATGATTTTTCCTCCTTTTTCTTCCTTCCCTTGGCCCTGCAGTAGTGTGGCCTCTATATCAGAGGCTACCATAGTTAATGCAAACCAATATTTCCATTGTAACTAGCATTTGGAATCAGAGCTCCCATGTTGTTTTCCAAGGTCATTCTTTTAATTAATCTGGTTATCATGAACCATGCCTTGCATTGATATAGCTCGACCTAATTCTGCTTTCATTGTGATGGGTTGGGGTAGAGAGAAGGTCCTGCAACAGAAGGAGAGAAAAGGATGGGAGCATGCAAACTGGAAAGGTATTTTTATGTATTCGCCACAAAAATCTGCCTAGCTTCATGGAATAAATGTATCTCTCCATCCTTTCTTTCCCTGTAGAAAAGTTTTACATTTCCCTTGATCTTATTAAATGTTCATGGGCATGAAGGTAAGGTCAAAGCAAAACCTGCTTTCCATGTTGTGTATGAGTGTTCCGTATGTATTTGACTGGGGAAGTAATTGAAACACAGTAGCAAAGAAGTACACAATGAAGCTGTGATTATTTGACACCCAAAAGAAAAGGCGGGTAGGTTTTCTATTGTTCTGTAGTTTTAAGAAAAGGGCTTTTTCTACTTGGTGGTGGTGGTGTGGTGGGGAAGAGTTGCTATAAAAGCAAAAAATAAAATAATAAAATAAAATATCAACAAAAAGTGTCCAAACTGTTCCCTGTAGGTTAAAATACCAAAATTCTGTCCATGGGGCTTAATTTTCATTGTGTGATGAGATAGTTTTTGTTTTGTATGACAGCTATGTACCTAACAAATACCTCTTTCCTTTTGTAATACAGGATATTTGTATTTGTTGAAGGAAACATTAAAATACATTTTTAAACACCCAAGTGAATGTTTATGAAAATGAAGTAAAATTAACTGTGTGGCATTTTATACCTGTAGTCATTCTAACTTGTCATTCACATTCACGTTGTTATTCAAGGAAAAGACTTCCCAGTGATCCTGTATAACTCTCTGTATCCTAACAGCTTGGACGTAGTATGTTCATGTCTTTGTGCATGTGAATGGAAGAGCATTCAAATCAACCTGCACAAACTTCATTTCTGGCCTAACATGTACGTATGTAGCAGAATGGATTGTGTGACAGTCTGCTTTAAGTATTCTTGGACAGGAAAATGTGAAACCTAACAATAGCAAGGACTCTTAATTGTTGTGTGCAAACAGCCACACACCATTTTTTATTATTTCCTTTGGATAAATTGTTTTAAAGACGGGAAAATACACATATGTTCCCATTTAGGATCTCCTGTTTATTTGGGGTTTACTTATAGGCTACATCAATATTTAGGATTATTTGTACTAAAATATTATTCAGCTCCATGGCAACAAATTATGTTTTGTTTTTTATGAAGCTTGCATTCTGCAACTGGGATTTTTTTTTCATGAATTTCATTATTTTACATCACTCTGCTTTTGCTATTCATGCAGAACAACAAGGCACTGAAGCACTGTGAGCACTGGAAAAATCTGGAATGGGTTCCTACATTCCTCACCGATAACCTCCAAGAGAGGGCAAACTTCTGCAGCAGGGAGACTCTGCTCCTGTGGACTTCCATAAAAGACAGACATGGAAAATCAGGGTTTTGGCACACCCACATAAATGTTTCACATTTTTCTCACATCTGCCTAACTAGTTTTTGCCCTTAAGGGTAAAAATCCCATGCATTTTTAGAGAGGAAAAAGCCCTATGTTTTCCAGCCAGCATGAAGAGGACTTGCACCTTAAGTCCTATATTTGGCTAATGAAACTGCTCTGTTAGGAAAAGAGGACTGGTTCATGCATGAATCGGTTGTGCTGGTTGATGCAGCAGCTCCTGTTTTGGTAACAAAAGGAACTAAAGCCTTGAAGTAAAATGTACTCTTACACAATCACTGTGCAATCATAGATGCGTAATGGGAAATAGGAAACAATATAAAAAGTATGGTTCTACTTTTAGATGCTACTTGGAAGTGACTTTGGGGTTTGCCTGAAAAAAAAAAAAAAAACAGGAAAAGTGAAATCTGTCATCATGAGTTAGGTCATTGTGACCGAAGTCAGAATTTCAGACCTTTAGCATCTCAGTCTTGAAAAGACTGTACCTTAAGAAATGAGTTTGGCCTTTAAATACATACAATGCTAGAAAGTGCAATGTATGCTCAGAGTTATGAGTCAGTAACAAACTTGTGCTTTTGCCCAGAAGCGGTTCACAAGCGCTTTGGTCTGACAGGTTGCCACTTATATGTGAAACAGCAAACTCCACAGCGACCCCCAAAGCCTAATGAAATGAGGAATATGTTGGTTTATCAGCGGAATTTGGAATGCTCTCAAGGACTCTGGAGAACTTGGATTCACCCACATTTTTCAAGAAAACTACATAATCCACAATTACTAGACTAGATAGGAATGTGTATAGTTCTCTGAATTTAGCAATTGAGTTCTCAGCTGATAAAGGTGTATAAAATGTGTGTGGTATTTATTTAAACTACTTATGTAGCACTTGTAATTGGAACTCTATGCAATTTACAGGAAAATATGTCAAATACTAGCTAAAAACCACTGTAAATATGACCGATATATAGCAAAGTTAACAAATGCAGCCAAACAGAGCAGTACAATGTACTTTCTGATGGTTAGGACCTCTAGGATATGGACGGGGCTTCCAAGGGAGGTGGTTGAGGCCCCATCACTGATGGTGTTCAAGGAAAGATTTGACATCCACATGTTGGGGATTATGTGAGTGGAGCTGGCTGGAGCTAGGGGTCAGAATAGAGAGCCCAGGAGGGTCCCTTCTGACTTATTTTCTACGCTTCTAATTGTTGGTCCTGGAACCCCTGAGTAAATAGGTGTGACTTCAAGACTTTGACATAGACCAGGTTCATATGCCACAAGAAGCCATGGTGGTTTTTTACCCTTGTTCATCTGTCGCAAAATCTGAACTTGGTCGTGGAATTTCAGCATGGCATGTTTGGCTTAAGGAACCCACAAAGAAAAACGACTGGTTGTAAGGTTTCCATGCTTCTCTATTATGTCTGAACCTAGACCTCCTTTTTTC